TTTAAAAGCCAAATGGACTTCAAAATCGATAATAAGGGGAGAGCCCAAGAAAAATGGGACACCCGGGTAAAACGGGACGCGGGGGCTAAATGAAACACGTGCGGAAAAACGATCTTAACTCATTCCCAGTCATTTTTTTCGGCCAAAAAATGTTGGCGACTATCTAAAAGTGTTACTGTTTTTTGCGAATCTAATTAGTTGTTTTAATTATGCTGTTGTTCAAAACTCTCATTTTTTGCTCGTGATCGTGAAATTTCTTCTGCATGGGAATTTAACATGTTTTTATCAGTCAAGTGTAATTATTTCGGAAAAAATGGAAATTTTAAATAATAGATGTTTACGATTGATTTTTTACCCGCATTCCATTTTGTCTCGCGTTTCATTTTGCCCGGATCTCCCCTATACTTGAGTATTCAAGAAATGAATTATTTCGTCAAAGCAGAATTCCACAGAAATTTCACGTCACCGAGTTGTTATGAATTTGGATTTCAAGTTTTTTCACCCCATTCTTCCATTCACTATAAAATTGATGTCCACTATTTTGATCCCTCAATAAAACGAATTATAAGAATTCAGTTATCCTTTACCCTTTTCCAATTGATAGAGAAGAGTATCTCGATCAAAATCGATCGAGCAATTACAAAGTCCAATAAGCACCACCCATTGATCATTGAGCCGAAATTAATTTATTCACTCGATGAGTTTAATTCTCCAATCCAAATTTCATTACCTTTCCGTCATTTCAGTGACGGGGGTAATTGTATTAGAAGTCCACCTCTTCATTTCACCTGGACACCTAGCATTACATAATCATGTAACTTAATTTGCTTTTTCGTTTTCCTTGAATTACATCCCAATTACTTCATTTTCTTGATATCCGGAAACTATTAAAAGAGTTTCTTCAACACAAATTCGTCTTTTTCACGAAAAAAAGTCGTTTCGAATTTCCCACCAAACTCATTTCTTATAGACTATTTTGAAATTTCAAAAATTGTTTAAAAATAAATATATAACAGACAATGCAAAAACTTACCATCAGAGATGAAGATAGTGAATCCGAGAATAAGAGTGAAAATTGTCACAATTTGATTAGTAAAAACCATTATATCCTTTAAAAATTCAATGAAATGAGAAATCTGAATTTCCAAAAATCGAAAATTCCCCACTCAAGAAGTATTTATCCACTTGCACACCAAACTAAGATTCGCGAAGATGTTCACTTCAATAGTCGATTCTTTGTTGGATTTTGATAATTTTTTATTGGATTTGATTAATTTTTTAAATTAGTGGCTGATTGACGTTCTTGCATCACTCGTTGGGAATTTCCTATTGACCGCTGGTTACGACAGAGTTTGTGTGTCAGAAGTAATGAAAAATCAGGGAAAAGAAGAAGAGTGATGCTCCATTGATGATGCAAGCCATACGAAGGCCAGGATATGAGTTCGCTGTGAGAAATCCGCGTGTGCACTGCACCTTGAGAATCCGCGGGAGCTTCTGCCTCATCTGGTGAATACCGAGAGGACAGTTTCACCTAACACGCGCTCTATGCGGCTGCACACGCGCACTCAAAATGACAATTTTAACATGCGCCAATTGCTATTCACTATTTTTCCTCACCCCTTACAATCACTACCAATAATCCATCAAACAATTATCAATTTCACATCATCTAAAATTATCGCCTATAGGCGATACAGCAGCAAAATAGTCCATGTGATTATCAACAAAAATGACTTTATTTTCTCTTGCCTCTTATAAAAATATTTATACGTTAAAACTGTTTTTGCGCTAAATCGCCGATTGTACATGAACACGTAACTACACGAGTACAGCATGTTTATCTTATATTAATGAAAAAAAGACGCGACAGTTGTAAGAAGGAAATATTTTTAATTACACAAGGTAAGTATCATCGTATAAATAAAATATCATACGTATATTTACAAAGGTGAACTGTAAACGTAAATGCAACAGTAATAAGAAAATCTTTGTTCCAGTGACATCGAACTATCTAGCAAACTTGTCATCAGGAGCACACATGTACATGGAAACAGGAGCACTATCTCCACCATAATATCCATAGATAGGCTGTGGTGGGGTGCCATGCATCGAATGTACAACATGCATTGGTTGTACAAAAGGCATCATGTGCACAGGTGTGACACTTCCATTGCCCTGTCCAAGAGTAGAACCATTGTACGAACCGACGAATCCTTCGTGATTCATTTTTCCGGAATAAACACTTCCAGGTCTCATAACAGTGTTAGCATCATGAATGCTTGATGCCATAGCTGCCATTCTGGCGTCATTGGTCTGACCCGACCACCTCATCCTGCAAATGCAGATGATTATAACGACAATGGCAATGAAGGCAACCACTCCACCCACTATTCCAATTATTAAAGTATCATCAGTGCTCGACGAACTCGACGTTCCAACGTCTGGATAGTTTTTGTTTCTTGTTCCTCCGATCGTTGGAGCAACTGTCCAAATAATCTCAGGCTCTGAAGAAAGTGTAAAACTCCTTGTTGATGGAGTTGTCTCTGTTGATGGGATCTTTGTGGAGGTCGACAGCTCACAAGACAGCATCTCCTCTGTTAAATCTATCAAGAATCTTCCGAGCAGATGTTCAGGAGCTGAACATCGGCCACTGAATTCATCAGTGGACATTCGTAACCACCTCCACAAGTGCTTAGCGCCGCAATCGCAATTTATAGGATTTGATTCCAAACCCTTGATCTTCACCATTCCACTTCGTTCATCGAGGGCAGCGAGTAATCCAGGAGATATTGTTGTAAATTTACTTGCTGAAATGTCCAGAGTTACTTGAGTCATCCTGGGCACTGGGAAGAACAGAGCAGCAGGGAGATTATCAATGGAGGAGTTCTTAAGTCCAAGATGTAGATGCGACGACCTGACACCGACTAAAGCACTTGACTGCACGGTTTTTAACCGATCGCCTCGCAAGATTAATTCCGTCAATCGAGGATGCGAGCGAATGGACAAAAGATCATTACCAGCTGACGAATCTTTGATTTCAATGTCTAGGGTTTCGAGGTTGTGCATTTCTTTGAGAATTCCCTGAACATCGAAGTATCCAAGACGAGGGTAATCATAAGCTGACAGAATTCGGAGTTTATTCAGTGATTTGAAGGCGGTCTTTTCAATTCTCGTGACGTCAAGTAGAGAGGACATCTTTAATGAGCGAAGACGTTCAAGACCATCGAATGAAGTTTCGTTGAGGTTCCTCGGTTTGTTCCCAGAGACATCGAGATGTCTGAGAGCAGGAAGGGCTCTGTAAGTAATGGCGAGATTTGTAAAGTCTTCTAGATTGTTGTGAGAAAGATCTAGAGTTCCGAGTAGAGTTGCTCGTTCCAATACTGAGGGCTTAAGTTCTGTTATCTCGTTTCCAGATAAATTCAGGGACTTGAGGAATGGCATCTCCAATCGGGTGACATTCTTGACGCCTGTGTTAGCTAGATTTAAATATCGAAGGATCTTAGCCTCACCTAGGATTCCTCGGATGGCATTTTCGCTTAGCAAATTATGGGATAGATCCAAATGTTTGAGTGTGTTTATAAGATCTTGAGTAAAAACTTCAGCCACTTTGTTCCTGGACATGTCCAAGTGGCTCAACGATGCCGACTGTCGTTGAAGGCTTCGTGTTGGAATCTCATTGAATTTATTTCCAGATAAATCAATCTTCTCGACGCTCTTTATTCTTGAAGGATCGAAGATTGTTTCGGGAAGAGATTTGAGTTTGTTATTTCGAAGATTCAGATGATCCAGTCTTAGGAGTCCCTCCATTGTTCTCTCGCTCATGCTCTCCAAGAGATTTTCTGATAAGTCGATCACTTGCAGTTGCGTAGAATTGTGGAACGCCAGTTCATCGATCGACTCGATTCGATTCCTTGACAAATCCAATTCTTGAAGTCTTCCTATTTGGGAAAAGGCGAATTCTCCAACTGTTCTCAAAGAGTTTCTCGACAAATCTATGAACTCGAGGAACTGTAGATTCTTTATGAATTCACTGGGAAATCTGGTGAACCGATTACCACTCAATCGAAGTTCCCTGAGCCTTGGGTGTATAACGAAACTTGTAGGAGAGATGTAAGTAATGGCATTGTCTGAGAGATCGATGATCTCGAGACCGGTTCCGGTGTCGAAGAACTCCCCTGCGAATGATGTCAGGCGATTGCCTTTTAAATTGAGTTCATACAGGTTGATGAGACCAACAAATGCTGCATTGTCTATGCGCTCGATGACGTTGTAGGAGAGGTCTATGGTTGTAAGATTGTAAAGATGTTGGAAGGTCCTTTCCCCGAGTTCCTGGAGATGATTGTGGGACAGGAGAACTTTGCTCAAGGCAACGAGTTTATCCAGAAGGATTGGGGGCAGGATTTTCAGACCCGTTCGGGATGCATCCAAAGTCACGAGAGAAAGAGGAAAAACTGGTGGAAAGGCGCTGTGGAGAGGATTGTTGCTGATGTTCAAGTACTTCAATTTTGATAATGAGCCTAAGGTTTCTGCTGATAGATGTTTCAGATGGTTTGATGCCAGATTCAATGACACAAGATTGCGTAATGATAGACGTGCCACAGAGACAAGTCTGTTATTCGAAAGGTCAAGATTTAGGAGAGTATCTTCACGACCGGCGAAAGTCTGGGGACTCACCGAAGAAAGCATGTTACCGGACAGCTCGATGTTGATGAGTTTGTCGAAATTCAGAAACATTCGTGCAGGAATTTCTCGGACGAGGTTTCGGGTGATGGAGAGAGATACCAAACTAGGGGCAACAGATCGCAGAAGGTCGTTGGAGAGAGCTGCAATCCGGTTGAATTCTACGTGTAGGTGAGTCAAAGAGGGCAGATAGCTCACTGCAGAGGTCGGCACCAATAGGATATTGTTGTCCTGTAATGAGAGCCATTTCAGGTTCACCAGACCCTCGAAAGCTGATTCTTCGACCTGAAACAGGAGTGAATAGATTTTAATAGATTTGAAAATTCAAACAGTGATGTATTAAATTACGTTAATCTCTTTTAATCTCAATTAAAACTAGTAGATTAAGATTAATTGGACGTGTACCATGAATTGTAAAAAGTGTTTTCTGTCTACGTAAAATTCATGAAATTCACGGTTTAACGGAATTATCGAATTAGTAATTTATTTGTTTGTTGAAACAATGACATAATTCCATAATTATTTAACAATTATCGTTGTAGTGATGCTCAGGTGAATTGATAGATTTGTAAAGTCATCGAGATTGTCTTCTAAATTCTAGATTGATGCAGACAATTACCGTTCTGAGAGCATTGAGTGACAAGTCCAGTCGCGTGAGGGCCGTCAAATTGGAGAATGTATTAATTCCAAGTCGTCCTATGTTGTTTCTGCTAAGATCCAGCACTTGTAGCTCTCTCAAACCGGATAAGTGATTCCTCTCGATTCCCTGAATGAAAGCAGTGCATTCACTGATGTATATTAATTATGAACAACAGTGATAAACAATCATTAACTAGAGAAATCTTCGATAGCACGAACAGGTTAATTCTTTTTGCCTCATTTATTCTGAATAAGTTGAGAGAAGTAATTGTGTATGCAATTATTAAAAGTGTAGATATATTGGAAACTAATGGAGCAAAAAAGAAGAGGGAACTCTGCTTTCCTCGTGAAATTCGATGTTCTTTTGATAATAAAATTAGTGTAATCCGTTTTATTGGATAATTGTACTATTTTAATTTTATATGCCACTTGTGCGATAAAAAAATATGTAAACCTTTCACGTACAGTGATTAAATTATTGGATATATTGAGAAACTTCAATCTCTCTAAATGTCTCAGTGCATCACTCGGGAATTCCTGGAGAAAGTTCACAGATAAATCCAATTGCAGCAAGTTGTAAGCACCTGTTAACAAATAAAAATTATCATTTCTCTATAATCCACGACGAAGTTAATACATTTCGCCGTGTACTATTGTTCGAAGAAAATGAATTTCCATGAACAATTGAATAATAATCTGTAGAAGGATAAAGGACACTTCAATTTAAGAAAAAATTGAATCGAAAATAAAATAAAAGTAAAAAAAAAAATTACAGACCGGTTGGATTATCTGGAAAAGATAATTTACTCCAAAATTGGGATTCCTAATTACTCTGGCAATTAATCGTTTTTTTTTCAATAATTGTTAGCTAGCGTTCTAGCGGTTATCAACGACTAGAACACTAGCTAACAATTATCGGAAAAAACAATTAATTGCCGGAGTAATTAGGAATCCCAATTTTGGAGTAAATTATCTTTCCGAGATACTCCATCCGGCCTTTAAGTCAATATATTTTCGAATTGAGGATTAATTTTAATATCGGAGTAATTTGAAACTAGATATCAATGTCTTCAGGGAAATTGGGAGTAATTTTTTAAATACTCATTTATCTACTCAGTAGATAAAAATCAAAATTTCTAGGCAGTAGAATCTACTGTTTTATCTACTCAGTAGATAAATAAATATTTAAGAAATTACTCCCAATTTGCCTGCAGACATTGATATTTAATTTGAACTTACTCCGATATTAAAATTAATCCCGAATTCGAAAATATATTGACTTAAATTTATCTTTACTTCCATCAACAGTGATTCCATGAAATTAAAATGTACAATTATCATCAATTTCCCAACAATTCAGAAATGTGAATTTAAATTTTTGAAATTTATGGAAAATTATAATGCGATCGAATTTTTTGAGAATGGTACAGAAAATTGTCAACAAAAATTTCTTGAAGAATTCAAATCACGAGCAATTAAAGAGGGGATAATTCATTGCCAATAGCATCACGTTTCATTACGGAGAGAAAGTGGTGAAGTCGGTTAAATTGAATCAATCAATCAACCAACGAAATCTTTCATTTTTATTACAACTGAATTTGGAGGATAGACTGCAACTAACAATAGCATTGTTTCCTGGGACATGAGTTCCACGGTTAGGGAAACAGTATCTGCCATTCACCTAGAAATTTCACTACAATACAATAGCACTAGTAATTAACATAATTATCGTTGAAGTGATATGTTGAGGTGAAATGATGAGATTAAATCGCAGTTTCCATTCTTATGCAAAAAGTTTCAGTAATAAAAGTCACCAAGAGATTAGCGGACGATAACACGTTCATGACATTAAATGCAGAGTAATTTGCTCATTTAAACTCTGAAATAAAATTTAGAATTTACCAAATATGTATTTTGTTTATTATTATGTATATATTTAATCGTTGGGGAGGAAAATTGGAAAATTGGGGAGGCTAGTCCGACCATCCGCGTACCCAAATCTATCTATCAATGTATATATTTTCTGTTTTTCCACGGCGATTCAATTATAATTAACTAAATATTCATCAATATTTAAAAAAATAGATTTTTCCAAAAATTCTCATATTCCCAAACCTCTGGAAATGTTTCATGAATTTTAACGAGCTTTTCAATTCATGAAATGTGATAGTCATAAAAAATTCGATCCATTCGTTTGAAGGTTCCCTAGGGGTTCGCTGGATATTTCAATTGAAAATTTCCAGATGTTATTATTTTTTTAGAATACTGAGTGATTGGATTCCTATAACTTTTTAGTATTGATGCCCCTAGTGGGTTAGAGTTATCGGATATTTTCCGATAGCTTCTTCAGGTTAAAAATGTCAAGTGCAAATCACGAGAGGTTTTTTTCTACAAAAATTGACAAACTCGTTGCTAGGACGCAAGAATGAGGAAAATGTCCCTTTAATTTTCAAGCACGAGTGGTAATTGACGGATTTTCCACTTGAATTTTGGGCGAAACAAAATGCAGGGAATAGCATCTGGATACATTTACACAATCGTACAGAAGAACAGAAAATTGTATAAAACAAATTCAGCAAATGAAATAAAATTATTAAAAAAAAATTTAATAGACAATGAACCAAATTAATTATTCGGAGGAATCCCTCCAAAGCGACTGATTCTTCTATTACGTTTGGAATAATCTAGGTTTTTATCTATCTGTCACACAGAAGATTCAACGTGAAATCCATTGGAACATTGAAAACATTGGAAAAGCTATTAGAGAACTTTCGTTGGACATTTTCCGGAAATTTTCGAAATGATACTCTTTAACAGATTAGAATATTGCACTTTGAATTGCCTGAATTTGAATTTGAAAAATTTTAGGGATAATTAAAGCTTCTATATTAGCTAACAGATTAATTACAGGAATAAAGGAGTAAAAATTCATTTGAGGTTGAAGCTGTACTGAATATTTTCCCCTAAATAATTCCAGAGCATATATACATTTGTAACGGGATGCGCCCCGAGGCATGTAAAGTTAGTCTACAACGAAATAGCAAATTGTTCTCAACATCACAAAACTCCCACGGGAATATCAAGTCTGCACCTCTGCCAAGAGGAACGTGAATCAAGAAATGACGTTATTGTAGTTAACAACAACGAAAAAGAAAAAAAGAAAAATAAAATAGTAACGTTATTACGTTGTCGGTGGTTGGAGTACGTGACACCCGGGCTTACGATATTTCTCACGATACGCGCATGTTCCCCTTCCCAGGAAACCAGCATTGTTGAATATTTCATAATGAGGAAAATAAATTTGCAAGGAGATTGTCAGAAAATTACCCTTGAAGACGTCACTGTTGAAACGGGTCAGATCGTTGCGGGAGAGGTTGAAGAAAAGGATGTGGTGTAATCCAATCAGGGCGTTGTCCTCCATATGAGAAAGCTCATTACGGCTTAAATCTATTCGAATTAGAGATTCTCCGAGAGTGCCGAATGCGCCTCGCGGTAAAGATCCTGAACAAATAAAATGCATTATTTAACAATTTATATAATGGAAATTTCATGTAGAAACCTGAACATTTTTTAGTAACATAACATTTCTAGAGAATCGATGATGAACTGATGAATTCATTGATATTTACTGAAATTTATTGAATATCTCAATTATTCTAAATTTTCAGGTCCATACTGAACTGAAAAACATTGAAAATGTTTAAATTCCAGGAAATAAGAGCTTTTAATTTTCGATTTATTAAAAATAGACCCGATTTTGAGAGGCAATCTTTGTGATGAGTTTCGTAATTCAGGGTTTCGTTAAAACATCAACAACTGCACGGAGGAAAAAAATATTTTTGCTAAATATTCATATTCATAAAAGTTCATTTTCCACTCATTATTACTGAAAATGTCCCCATTACAATGACAATACTCTAAAAAATCTTTATTTTAATATCAAATTCAAATGTTCTCTTTTAATTAAGAAATTAATGGTAATTATTCTCTCAAGAAAATACTAAATATATAAAAATGAATAATCATTAAAAGACTCAAAATATGGACTGCAAATAATTTAATTAATTTAATTGAAAAACAATTTTTATAAACATATAAAGAATTCCCTCAAATCAATGAATGTCTGGCACAAATAATAATTTTTTCGATGCGTTCAATACGGGAAACCCTAATTTCGTGAATTTTTAAGATGAATGAAAAATTTAGTGAACGTTTCCCATTGACATTGAGTTTGCCACTCACATAATCAACAATTCAAATGATATTGGGACTGAAAAATGGGGTAAATTCCAACGATGTGGAAAAAATGCAATGGAGGATGCTGGGAGCTTTTTTTATTTTTCGAGATTCAAACGATTGTTGAGAACCATGAACAGAAATTGGATGTGAATCGGAATGAGGTGAGTCACCCGCATGGAAAATGATATATAAGATAAATATATATTAATTATGTGCACATATATATTGCATGCATACACTCAATATGTATCTGCGATATACATGAAATATATTTTCGGTAAAAATCCGATGTCACATATATGTCACATATAATTGAGTAGCAAAGTGATTAACTAGGATAAGTGCATTTTTTCGACGCGAATTTTTAGCCAATATTTCGCAAATGAAGGATTACAGTGAATTTTTACAACAACATTTTTTATAGAATAGAATGAGAGCTACATAAAAGATAGTTGTCAAAAAATCGGTATCTTCCGTCAATTTTGAGATATTGGCTAAAAATTGGCCTGGAAAAAAAAATCATTGAAAAAAGAATGTGACATATTTTAATGTTAAAATGACGCGAGTGAGAATTGAATTGGACAGTAAAAGGTATGGTGCGTGAGAAAAGAGTTGAAAATTGAAGGTTTTTCCTCACCGATATTATTTCCCGACAGTGAAAGGCTCCGAATAGCTCTGGGGCCTTTCAACGAGTTGGCCGGTACCGAGACTAAATTATTATCATCTAAATAGAGTTCTTCAAGTTGTTGGCATCCTTTAAAAATTCCCTCTTCGATACTCATGAGTCCATTGCCGTGAAGATCCAGTAATCGCAATTCCTTGAGATCTCTGAACTCATTACTTGAAAATATTGGGTTCAAATTATTTCCCAGGTGATTCTCTCCAAGTCTCAATTCCTTGAGAGTACTTTGCGCCTGCAAATGTCGATCCATCAGTCGATGGATTGAATTACCGGTGAGATCGAGCTTCTCAAGTTCCAGACCTGCATTCAGAAGATCCTCCGGTAATTTGTGGTAACCAGCATTTCTCTGTGTGATTGAGATAATTGGCTGATCTCGGAGTAGATCGAGATTCTCTCGTGTGAAGATCACTCGATCGCAATCCATTCTGAGGAAACGCGGCCGTTCCGGGGATTGTGAGCACTTGCAAGCTATCTGAATGTCTCGTTTCAACTCCACACAGGGACGCCATTCTCCCTTGCTACTATTCACTATCACCAGCAGTGAGATGATACAAAATACCCTGGAACATCAATACAACAATTCATTTATTCCCATATTCTTACTCTCAAAAATAAAAAATTCAACAGAAATAATTCATCCTATCAATCAATCTTTCCATGAAATTGCCAGTTTTGCTTTTCAATGCAAGCCTATAAAAATAGTATTTTATACTTAAGAATGTTCTATTCCCATATATAACCACAATTTACGCTTTTACATTTTTTTCGCTAACTATCGATGGCATTCTTGCGTTTTGTCATTATTAAATGATTCACCAAGGTTTGTGGTTGTACGATCATTTCCATATATTTTATCTAAAGTTTTGTGATTCTTTTCAAAAGTTTGGAAGAAACGTTGAAAATGATCGCAGCATCGTGGCATGTTCCTCAGAAAAATGAAAAATTGTTTTTTTTAGACAAAGAAATTGACGGGGATATTTTTGGTTGTTTAAAAGAAAAAAATATAATAGTGTCCCTCATAAAAAATGAAATATACTAGAATCAAGTGCACAGTATAAACCGTATAATGCATATTATATTTATAGTTTAACATAATTTGTTGCAAGATGCAATACTATTGCTCGGGGACCATCAGCCAGTGAATTGCATGTGAATTCTTATAATATATATATTTTTCTTATTATACACACATACAGATGAGTATTTTTCGTATAGTATATAAAATGTTTAATTTAATAATTCCGTAGATAAAATGAGTAATAGAGATTTGATAAATTAGAGGTACAAAGTGGCTTTGGTGACTCTCGAATGGGCGATAGCTCTCCCGAGTTCTGTTTGATTTGTCTGAACTCTTCGAGGAGAGTTTGTTGTGGGTATTTATAATGCGCTCTGATGTTGGGATCCCGTATTTCACAGAGGTCGAGGATGTGGTTCAATTTGTTTACGAAGAATCGTGTTAGTGCCTTGAGTCTGTTCACGATTTGTTTGATTTTGGTGTGTTCATGTAGGAATTAAATGTGTTCCAGGGGTTGTGGAGCGGGTGGTCCGGGTGCCCTAGCTTATGGTCATCTTTCTCAGGATAGATTGTTAATAACTCTCGGCTATGTTATCAATTTTTTTTAATTTCGATGATTTTTTCAGATTTTTCACGCCGTTCGTTACTGACGGCCATTTAGCGTTGAAAAATGGTGAGAAGACGGTCAATCGAAAAATTACGGTCATTTTACATATCTAATCGCAATACAATAAAGCTTTTACCAATCAAAATTCGATATATTTAATGCTTGAAGTATACAATATATTTGAATCAAATATACTGTATATATTTATTTCAGGTATATAAAATATATTAATTCCAAGTAGATTTTTTTTTAGCATACGTACATGCTTCAATACTTTGTTATCGATGATCGCAGAGAAATATCTAGTGAAATGAACAGGGCAATCCGAAGTGTTACGGTAAAATTAATCATACCAGACAAGAAAAATTTTAATGTGTATTTTTGAGATAATTATTCTAGTTTTTCGGGTTAAGTAATGTATAAACCTGAAATTTCACCTAATATTCAGTACCATTACGTACTTGGCGTCATAAAAAAATCTAAAATGTGAAATCTATGTCATGAATTATATAATTGAACTCGAATCAAAGTGATTACATAGAAAAGAAAACGTCATAAAAATGATACGAAAGTTATGTAGCTATAGGGCGGATTGTCGCTTCGTGCAAAATTACGGAGTGAACCTGAATTTTGACGTGATTGACAGAGGATTTGTGAAACTACTGCTTATGTTTTATTGAATTTTTCTCGCTGTGTCATAAATTGTTAAGCCATTTTAATTCTGTTAAGTAATTGATTCTATTTACTTATTTACGTGAGTGTGGGGTACGTGAGTAGTGACTTCTAGATAAGTTACTTTGTACTGGAGACGTGAAATACGTTCTCTCACTTTTCAAGATACATGTTTCTCATTAGAGTACCGAGTTGTATCAATGGTTGCAGTCATGCATAACAACATCATTGCTAATGTTGATGGGAAGTAAATCGTAAATCCACATGGTAAAAAATCTACTTCAATATTCATATAAATTGATTTTCTATTTTTCTGAGTTATTATTCATATTAGTAACTATCAAAAATAAAGGGAAGAATAAAAATTGAGTCGCATTCAATTAGGTATATATATATATATACCTGGAGGGAGTAGACTGGTCTAGGTCGACCTTTGGTGGGGTTCATACCAGTCGCGTCCCTGTCGCGTCCCCGTCGCGAACCCTGGGTCATGCTAAGTGCTGGTGAGGCTTGAAACCTTCAAAAAAAGTTCTTTACCACGCCTTAAATTTTTGGAAATACCTAATAATATTGTTAAGTTAATTATAAATTAACTGCTTTTTGAAGAAAAAGTGCAGTACGCCTACATTGGCATCCACCAGAATAAGTAAGATGACTCAAAAAGATTAAATTCATTAATAGCTGTTCAGCTCGGACAGTAAGGATGTCTATTTACCTTAGGAAATACCTCGAAATAAAAAAAAAATAATGGAACGGAATAAGTTTGAAATAGGGGTAGCTCTAATATACTTTTACTTGATTTCCTATAGAAAGAAATTAATTTCCAAAATTACCATAATTACCATACCGCGTAGTAATCGCATACAACGAGAGAAATATTCAATAAAAAAATCTGAGGTGGTGGTACCGTAATTTTTGAAAATTCAAATAATAGGTATGGAAGATTCCAAAAAAATTCTTGTAAAACTTCCGTGAGTTTTTTTTCAACTCCTGTTCGCTCTGGAATCACGGAAAAGATACGTCATTTTTATTGAATTTCTTTCCGGGTAGTAAACCGGCAGGTCTAAAATTTCCACCAGAAAATTCTCAGTGAAACTGCCATAACGTCGAGTAAAAAGTGCAATTCTTCTCACGAGGATTTTTACGGAACGTTATGTAGATTTCGCTGGGAATCTGGGATCTGGGAAAAATTCTTAACGTAATTTTCGAAAATAATGTCTCTCCCTGCATTATTGGTTAATTTTTTCATTCTCTCCAATTCAAAACGTAAGATGATCTACAAAACTTTCAACTTTCTGTAGTTATAAAAATATTAAGACAAGTAATTTCGAAAAATTAGCATCATGTGAAATTTAATCGTTTCAATTTATCGAAATCGTCCAATTAGTTTATACCTGAAGGAAATTCCATAATTTCACGTTTTGAAAACCTGACTTGTGTGAAATCGAACAGCTACAGCGGCGCAAAACTTTTCCTCACCTCCTGTCAGGAAAGGAAAAAAAAAAGAAAAGAGGGAGGACATAATGGAGATGGGAATCAGTCAGGTAGTTTTAAAAATCGGGTTGGGCTGCATCTTGTATTTGCTTTCTACTCAGAGACTATTACCTTCTGGCTTTGGCCCCTCCTATATTCTCAACTTCAAGCAAATTCTCTAATAAATTTTCCTGGAAAACTCTGACTCGAATGAAAAACTGGAACGAATTCTTCAGGGGCCTTTTGACATCTCAACGAAGAAAATAAGTACGAATTTATATTGAAGATATTTTTTATTCCAAAATAGACAGAAGAATTTTTTTGAAATAATATTTTTAGAGGAAAATTTTTCCCAGGTATTAATTCACTTGAGAGAAGTTTTCAGTATTTTAATACCGTTATTCTCCTCACGTATCTCTTCCAAAAATTCCACATTAATTTACAATTTCCACAATGATATTACTCTCAAGAACTGTCAAGTTGATTAAGAACAAAATGTACTCTCTCAATAATTATTACCATCAACCGAGAAATTCTTCCCTCAAAGAACCCGAAATTTTCAAAAATTTACAAATGATTGGGGGGGCTCAAATAATTATTTCCACAGCTAGATGTTTGTCATAATTAAAACCTAATCAGGCTCGGCTAACAATAACTTAATTGCAGAAACCCTTTTGTTTTAATGTAATATAAATACAATTAATATAAACAATCATAAATATTCCTGGAATAAATGAATATTTGGTAAAAATGATTTTTTTTCTCAGTGGGGATAAAAAAATGGGATTAATCGTCATGAAAAAATTTCCTTTTCACAGCGAAAACAGTTGCTTTTAAATTGATCATCTACTTTATGCTTTATGCTGTGGTTTTGTTTTTTCAATGACTAAAAAGTTGAAGAGCACAACCAGCAGAGGAATTAGCCGGAGGCTAGAGTCACCTGTATGGCATTGATGTCTCCACACGAGACGAAAACTTTCTCGTATCCCCATAACACAAACCTCTCAGAATTAAAAAGACCAGAGAAGAAAAGTACTTTAAAAAAGGAAAAGATGATGGTAATAACCATAATCACTTAATTTCATCGCAATTCTCCTTAAGTACGACATCATTAAATGCAAAGAATCAGAAGATTTGCTCTATCATCGTAGAAAGCAACATTCAGTTCAAATTCAGCGAGAGGAATTGCTGAACTAGCGATTCTGATACAAACACATAAATAGAAAAGAATTCGTTTCACTATCTAAATCAAGAAGTAGAAAAGGAAATTACATTGTTTTCTGCAATTACCTACGAAGATTATTCCAATGATATGATCCAATTTTGGGGGAACTAATTGCAATGCTTGAATAAAATCCACGATCTTTCCCCAAATAGTTGAAAAATACTTGGGGTTATTTTCAGACAAGATGTCTGTATCAATTACTCAACAAATTATTTTTGTGTCAATTATCCAATAATAAAGGCGAATACAACGAATACAGTGATTGATTTGTTTTTTAGAGTATTCTCTATTTTTGTTATTTTGTCATTTTCTTGTGACATCACCAAATACTGATTCATTCAATGCGCATTCTCCATTATAAAACACCGGCAGAATGTGAAAGGTCAAGGAATCAGAAGTAGAAAGACAGTTTACACGTTGCAGCGTTTCACATTACAAGGAGAAACTCAATGGAAGTGCGTGGCTTTATTAATTAAAATTGTAGTTGTGTCCTGTTGATTCCTCAAGTATTATTCTTTGGTAGCACCGACAGTAGTTCCGAATGGAATTAGCCACTATAAAATCACTGTTTAAAAATAAAATGTAATGGAAATAATATTTTTTATCTGTCTGGTTAAAGAACAAAAGGATTGAAATTTCGAGTACTCTATAATTTTCCGGTCTGTAGGATGAGGGGAATTATTGAGAACACTGCAAATTCTAGTTACTCCTTTCCTTTGAGGACTTTAATGTGCAATTATTCTAGTGAGTTCTTAAATCTTATGTTTTTTTTTCATGTCATGATCGTTTGGTAGAAAAACTTAATTTATGCAAAATTGTCGAGATGAGAGAAACTTTCGCTCGCGATTTTGTCTAATAAATTAATTTCCCTGCTATTCCCTGAGAATTTACTACAGCAATCCCATTACACTTTTTCAATTGAAATTATCTACAGCAACATGTACATAAAATTTCTGTAGAATTCTCAATAAACCTAGAAAATACGAAAAATTCGACCGGATGCTCTTCTAGTTTTTAAATCTATTGGAAATTGACGCTTTAAAAAAATAAAAACGCAATGATCTTGAAGCATTAAGGAGTTATTACCAATATCTTCTAATTTTTCAATTTTTTTTTCCAAATTTTTAACGCAGAAACAGTTGATAAGTTTAACGGAAAAAATATATCGTTCCAAAGTTCCATTGTTATTAAATATCAATAAACTTTACCAAAAATTTGGAAAAATAACCATACGAAAGTTTGTGAGTTATTGAATAATGTGATAATATCTGTAATATGAACTACAAATTGATGAAACTGGTTAATTGGAATGAAATAAAAATTTACACAATTGAAAATTGAGAAGTCTTTGTGAAGAAAATTTGAAGAGATTGTATTAAATATTTTCGCCCTGAGTTTGTGGAATGTTATTCTGCTAGGGAGGAATTCGCCACGATGGACTTGTACTGGAAAAATGAAAAAGGGCATCGATGTTTCGTTAGCATCGTAAACGTCCCTTTCCTGGTAATCCTTCCGTTTATAATCATCCACGGTAGGCTTCAGTATACACCTCGGTTCGATGCCTCTCAAGAGAGCAATTTTCTTCCGACTTGGTAACGGTTCTTCCCCTCCGTATCATCACCACCAGATGAACAGAAAAAAATATTCAAGAGAAAAAGATTGCAGGGTCAGGGTCCAGTGGCTTCGGAAAATTTAACGGCGGCCAAAGAAAATCATTTCTTCCAAAGACAGTCAGACTCAGATTGTCAAAAAAATTGAGTATTTTTTTTTAATATTAAAAAACGTTTCCCAAATGAAAAAATGTAATTTAGATAATTATTATATCATAATCGTCGCTTCACGTTCAATATAGGAATTTACTAATGGCTCATGTATAACTGTTCTAGTCAATTCACAGTTTTCATTAAAAAATAATGAGGATTACAAGAGATTTAATTTTTTTTATTTATTCTTCTCGTGGAATTTATCTGATGATCACTCCCTAATTCATTTTAACATTTAGAAAATACCTCGAATTATTTATTTATTATTAATTTAAGACCGTGCGTTGCAATTAATGAATATTTTTCATTGGGTTAAAAAATAATCCTTTTCTCGAATAAATTTATTAATGACACACTTGCTTGCGATAAGTAAATTTAATTAGCAGTATTAATTTTTTTCTTGGTGTAATTAAAACAAGTTGAGATAGCAATCGTCAAAAATATATATTTCAATCAGCGATTAAACTAAAATATGAAGAAAACCCGTTCGTCACTGATTCTAGTTTCTCCATAATCTTCTAAACAAATAGAGCAAATTGATACTAAGCGGAAATTTCAATCTAAAGTTTCCAAGCATAAATATCCTGGACATACTCTCATTAGCTAATGAACCAGTCATAATTTTTAACGTAAAATGTAGAAAATACCTCATTATTCTGCAGATTCAATTGATCAAGAAGATCCACACGAATTGTCACTTTACACCCACGAGCTCACAACTGGTTCCACGCACATCTTGAAAAATCTGAATAGTTGGAAGAAATAGCAGATCTAAATTGTCCGGAAAATGAAGAGATAATCACCAGAGAGACTGAGGTAGAGCATGTGTCAAATTGTTGAATAACAAATGAGTTTTTTTATGAAATTGGAGGTGTTGTGCGAGCAGATGGAGGACTACTGGCGCCGAAGTTGTTCTCCAACCTGGAGTCAAACCGGAGGAGTAAATAGGTGAGCAGGTGGGGGAATAAATGAAAAAGAAGAGGGAAAAAGCAAGGAGCGTTGTCGAGGGCAAGTCAACATGGAGAAGGGCCTTTAACATAACGGAGAATTCATTCTGGGAAGTATATCAACGCGAAAGGCTCACCGAGGATAAATGAACACGTGCAATTTGTGGCAATGAGTAGGACATAATGCGAGCATTCAGAGTTCTTGGAAAAATGCCCCATCGAGACCATTCATGATTTCATGCCAAAATTATCAAGAAAATATTTCATTAGTCGATCATTTTTAGACTAACAAAATTTCTCAGGTGAGATAGAAAGGATTGATAATCCCCATTATTTCATTAAAGGTCCTTGCATCTTATCCAAAGGATGTTGCAAGGACTCGCGGTTTGATTCATGGCTTAATAAAGTCCTTTGAGTTATTCAAAGATGGCGTTGATTGATTTTAATCTAATTAGACGATGAAAAACCGGTTTTTATTGTACTCAGTGCGGAAAGTTGTGGACAACGCACGTTACCTCTTCTTTATTTTTCAATTTTCGATTGTATGTAAGGAAATATTATAACTCAATAGTTAGTTTTAGTCTAATTGTTTTTAATTAATGTTATTGCAGACAGTAGACCTCACATCTCTTCACTCTTCTTGATAATGAGATGTACCGCGCTAGTACTTTATAAATAGTTATTGCCGCTATATTGTCATTTCTCATGTTCTCTGGAAATTTATGGGAAATTCTGAATCAGATGGACGCGCAAAAATGTACCATTTTTAGATTCCATTATTATTATTCAGCGACTCACAAATTTTCATTCTTGTTGATCTATTTTTCTCCATTTTTGGTTAAAGTTTGGGAATTTTTACAAAAGTTTACTAAGAATGAAGGAATTTAGATTCCATTATTATTCAGCGACTCACAAATTTTCGTACTCGTGGATCTATTTTTCTCCATTTTTGGTAAAATTTTGGGAATTTTTATAAAAGTTTACTAAGAATGAAGGAAAATTCTTCCAGTGTTTTCACCTCGTGAGACATTAAATAATAATTGAACGGTATATTTTTTAACGTCAATTTTACCAACCGTTTCTTCGATATTAAAAAAAAACTTGAAGAATGAGAAGATATCCGCAGTAATTCCTCAATATACTGCTCTGATAAAATTGAAAAAAGAGGCACTTTTTTGAACTCATAAAAGACGAATCACAAAAGTGCCTCTTTTATTTAATTAATTCACGAGTTTAATTATTCATGATAAATTACCATAAATAGTCAACTAATTGAAAACTTCAGGATATTTACCTGAATTTTTCTTAGGCATATAGATTTTTATAGAATAATTAAACTGAAAGTCATGGATTCCAGATTTTCTCATAAGTTTATGATTTTTTAACAGTGGAATCCATTGAAATTTTCAAAAATTTATAGATTGAGACAACAATATAATTTAGTTATATTATAATATGAATAGTGAAATCGCTAAAGTAGGAAAATGTTTTTGTTACGAAAGTGACTGTTGACACAAGAAAGTGTATTTATATTGTCCAATTGAAAGCAGAATTAACAACAACTAAAATCCATTGAAGAATTCAATAAAACATGTGAAACAGCGTGGGCTACTTATGACCTCCTGAAAGACCCTGAACTTGATTTCAGAACTTGGTATCAGGTTATTCAAGCCTCCACAGCGAGTATAAATAGATATAATCTTATAATGGACAAACCAATGAATATAATGAGAAAGAAATGAAGGAGCGAGTATTACAGGTATTGTAATAATTTTTTTGTGTGAAAATAAATAACTCGGCCTCAATGTTGACGCCTGCAGGCGATCGATCTCCTTTACGCCATGTGAAAGTAGATCGGATGGGTGTAGGATTAGGAATGTGAAAAATAACGAGGTGAGAGATACATGAGGCGACGATATACAATAAAAAGTGTCATTCTCTTATACGGTTGCAATGACTCGTTTTCATTTTTACGGAATCACTCTCCCCAATTCCATTATAGAGATCATTTCGGACGACTCAATAAGTCATTATCAAAAAGAACTTCATTGAGGGAATCATTTTTTTTGTTAATAGTCTTATTTATTCGGAATTCGAATATTAAAGTAAATTTTTCAATAATTTAGATATTGAATTAATTGAGGAATTATTCAATTACACAATTAATAGAAAATATAATTTTTCTTAGTTATTCAGAGAGGGTTGGACATTTTGTTTTTGTATTTATGGAATAACTCGAGGGTAATATACGTGAAATTGAGATTAAATCCTCGCTAATTTTACATAAAATAATGGATTTATGAGTTGAAAGTTAAAAAAGGCTCAAAAGGCAAATGAAAATTTTTAATAAAATTATTTATATACTGCACTACGCAAATTCTCGTTTATCTAAAAATTTTTCCATTGTGAATTGCTGAGGGTACACAAAATGGAAAAATTAGGGGCACCATTTCCAAATAAATGATTTATCATTTTAACGCGCGTCAGACAAGCTGAAAATTCAAAAAACTCCTATAAAGATCAAATTCGATTTTTTTTTAATTAAAAAATATCCTGTCACGTTAGTCAATTTTTGGTGGATCGAAAAATGATGATCGGACTATAGGTTCACTCCAGGTCAGCTTTTACCTTATCCTGACTTGACCTTGATACAACCTTGATCTAATTTTGTACAAGTATGATAAAACCTTGAGAGGATTTTGACGAGAAAGACTGAGTGAAAATTATATTCAACAAATAGTTCCAAATATCCATCTTTTCAAAACTCGTATCAACTTTCTGGTAATCCTTACATTGTTCCCTTTATTATGCAATCCAAAACACAATGAAAAAAAAAGGAAATTATTAAAGGGTGCTAAAGAGCGATATTGTTTAAAAGGGATCTATCAAGTTTACAAAAAAATAAAAATTACGTAGCTTACTATTGCTCTCCAGAAGATTGAGTGACAGCTAGATGCAATAGTAAGCTACGTGTTTTTTATCATTTTTTATCAAACTTGGTAAATCCCTTTTGAATAATATCAATCTTTAGCGCCTTTCAGTAATTGTTCCTCGTTTTTTTTATTATTTTTTCATGTCCATTCAAGTGCTTCCCGTAACACAAAATTGATCCCAAATTTTAATGTATTTTAGGTTAAAAAGATAAAATTTAAAAAAAAAGTCAACGTTCGATAGATAGTCCACCCGAGCTTTATTATTTACCATTTTTACGATATTTTTAATTATTGTCATAAATTATATCTTTCTAAATTGAGGTTGAGACTGGTCCTCGAAAATCTTCCTCTTACTATTCGACTTGCTATTTAAAAAATGTGATTTTTTCAATAATCGTTTTTACTGCGTTAGTTCAAAGAATTCGAAACCGCGCGCCTTTCATCACAAAAATATGGCGGTGGTCTTCCCACCAATCAGTGACGGTGTGTCACGATGGTGGGGAGCGGCATCAATGACGTGCTCTACACAAAAATGTAGATATGTAATTGCAGTGTAGTTGTAAGTAGATGTCAGTTAAGTATCGCACGTTAAATGAGTAGAGGTAGAGGGCTATAGGCGTGTCAGTGGGTTTTAAGAATGCCTTCGTAATAAATTGAATATCCAATTGTATTATTTTTTACTCTTAATTATTAATTAAGAACAACACGGTGAGTACATCAGAGTGACAATTTTTGTGTACATACTTCTTGTTATATTTTTTTTTAATGAAACAATGACAACCGTTGAACAAAATCGAGTCCCGACACTTCGGGTGTGACCGTTTACCAACTCTGAAATTTACTCGTATTTTTACAATTTATATACTTTATTCAATTACATTGTATATTATTGAATTATTTTGTAAAGTTCATGAATGAAAAAATAGATATTTTAAGTAATTGGCTGGGGATTGAAGATAGGTTAGACACTGGTGATTGTTGAAATTGTTGTTTATGGGAGTTTGTTTTCCCGAATCAATTGGACATGGTGAGATCATCGAAAACTACTTGTTTGATGAATGCGCGAGAAGCGTCACGATACACTATATAGTATACGTGTCTATATACAAGAAACAATGACCGTAAAATAAACCAACGCAACAACAAATTTAAACAAAATTCACCAATCTCTATATTTTCAGAACTTATAGAGGAACCCGAGGTAATACGGACATGTTTTTAGCTTACCTAGAGCTTCAACCATTTTTAGATTAGAATTTTAAGCTCTTCCGATGATGTGCATTACTATTACTCATTTTTTAAGGATAAAAAAATGTGAATAATTAATAATGAAATTATTTATAATATATACTTTTCGCCTAACTCAATAGTTCAAAGAGAAGTTCAGCCAACAAAATCCCCCAACTCCGATATTAATTTTGTTTACAGATAACTGAATGTAACAATTCTGGAATCAATATTTTCTTGTTAATTTAATTATTTTTAACATTTTTGTTGCAGATGAAGTACCGGCGAGAGACCATGAGGTATTCTTTGTTTATTGTTGTAGCGTCTGTCTTCTATGCGTCTGCCTCAAGTAAGTGAAATGTTGAATTATGTAAATTTCGGATTATAATCAATCAGCAACAATAAATTATAAACAATTCTACGTTATTTTTCAGTTCAATATCCACCGCAGATAACAAAACAACCACCAACAGATGAGCTGCTCTTTCAAGTAGCCCAAACAGCACTCAATGAAAATGACAAACCCTTCGTCATTGAGTGCGAGGCGGATGCAGAACCTGCACCTGTGTAAGTTTATTTCCCCCATTCAAGGGGATTAGTCATTATCTGAATGACTCAAGTGACGTTCCATGCACTATAGCCATCTAAATGTTAAGTGGGCAACAGTGAAACATAATTGGGCTTAATGAGTTGGATTAGACCTCATTTATAAAGCATTTATTTTTACATTGATGAGTGAACGATTGAAAGTAGTCTGAATTTAAACTAATAGAAAAACAGTTATCGACCATTTTTATTCGAATGCGAATAGCGCAATTTTTGTTCTGATTCCTTGTCTTCTGATCTTGTCAATAAATTGTACTGAGCACTTATCGAATAACTTGATTACACTCGTTAAAAATTCGGATTTCCACATTTTTATTTGTTTTATTTATTAATACCAACTTGAGGGTTGATTATTCATCAATTGTTATGAATATACAGATTTTAACAAAATTATTTGAAAACTTAATTCAGTGGGAGCTTCTAAAAATAATTTCGATAATATTTTGATAAAGCTGAAGAATTATAAAAATAGTATCACTGGTTTCATAATTGAATAATTGAAATTTGAATGATCTACGCCAAAAAATGTATATTCAAAATATCTCAAGTTATACGTTTTGTATATACATTTTATATAATTTTGTTGTTTCATTTTATTCACTATAAGTATAGCGTCTCGGGTTTAAATTTTATGTAGTTTTCCATGTAGAAAGCGCCATGTATTGGTTCAACTAAGAATCTAATTGATTGTAAACTTTTAAAAAGTCTTCCAAAAATTAATTTTTCAGGTTTTTCCTTCGGAAGTTAATCATAAATTTCTTAGCAACTTCTCAAGAATGAGTCAATAATGATAAAATTATCCACTTGTTTTTCGTGATTTTGAAAATATCTTTAGATTACTTTCAAGGCACTGCAATGTTGAAGCTATTTATTGCACAAGTTCCACCCATTACATTGAATTTTCGTTCTTATTCTCAGATATCGTTGGATAAAAAATGGGAAGAAATTCGAATGGCCAGCGTACGACGATCGTATTTCCCAGCAACCGGGTCGAGGTACTCTGGTGATTTCTCGTCCCCGAGATGAAGATCTCGGACAGTATCAGTGCTTTGCTGAGAATGAATGGGGAATAGCCACTTCGAACTCAGTCTTCGTAAGAAAAGCAGAACTCAACTCTTTCAAAGACGAAGAGCCGCAGACACTGACAGTGAGTGAAGGAAATACCCTCAAACTCACGTGTGAGGCACCAGACGGTTGGCCAAAGCCCAATGTTTATTGGCTGATTCAGGATACAGCTGGGATTGTAAAATCCATCAACAATTCACGTATGACCCTAGATCCCGAGGGAAATCTTTGGTTCTCCAACGTCACCAGATACGATGCCTCCGAGGATTTCTATTACACTTGTGCAGCAACATCTCACTACAGAAACGAATTCAAACTGGGTAACCGTTTTATCTTGAACGTCATTTCCTCAGGAGCATCAGCATCACAGAATAAACACGAGCCAGAACGACAATATCTCTCTAGGAAGAACGAAGTAGCCCTTCGAGGTAAAAAAATCGAGCTCTACTGTATATTTGGAGGAACTCCCCTGCCCGAAACAATCTGGATGAAGAATGGTGTAAGAATAAAACCGAACGATCGAGTAACTCATGGGAATTATGGAAAATCGTTGATAATAAGAGAAACGCAGTTTGACGATGAAGGAATTTATACCTGTGAAGCTTCCAACGGCGTTGGCAAAGCTGTGAGCCACTCAATAGACCTTAAAATTATGGCAGTTCCTTACTTCACGGTACAACCTGAGGTTCAGACAGCAGCTGAAGATGAAATGGTTGAATTCAGATGTGAAGCCAGTGGAATTCCCGAGCCGGAGATCAAATGGATTCACAATGGAAAGCCAATCGAGGAGACACCTCCTAATCCTCGACGAAAAGTCACTGCCAACAAAATAATAATTGAAAAATTGACAAAAAAAGATACCGGTAATTATGGGTGTAACGCCACTAATTCCCTGGGTTATATTTATAAAGACGTTTATATCAACGTTCTTGCCTTGGAGCCAGAGATAACGGAACCCCCGACAGACGAAGCAACAGTTGATGGAAAGACTATACAAATGACGTGCAAGGTCTTTGGAGCACCAAAACCCGAAGTCAAGTGGATCAGAAATGGTCAAGAGCTCACTGGCGGTCGCTACAAAACCTTAGAAACCGGTGACCTCCAAATAACAAACGTAAACTTTGGTGATGCTGGCAGTTACACCTGTCATGCAGCCAATAAATTCGGTCAAGTTGAAGCATCAGCTTCCCTCATAGTGAAAGAACACACAAAGATAATCGAAACCCCTGAGGATTACGAAGTATCTGCAGGTGACACAGCAACGTTCAGATGTAATGCAGTTGCTGACTCGAGTTTGACACTCCAAATAGATTGGCTGCGAAATGACGAAGTTCTTGATACAGAAACCGAACCAAGATTCATCATAACCAGCGATTTTTCCCTCTCAATAACTAAAACCACTGAATTAGATTCTGGAATTTATTCATGCTTAGCCAGCACTGAGCTAGACGAAATGAGAGCTCAGGCCACATTGATAGTACAAGACGTGCCCAATGCTCCAATTCTTACAGGGACTCATTGCTATGAGAAAGAGGCTAAAGTCTCCTGGCAGCCAATGGGAGACAATCGTTCTCCTATTCTACGTTATGCCATTCAAGCAAACACATCATTCACCCCAGATGCTTGGGAGACACCTCAGGAGTCCATTCCTGCTACAGAACAGACATACTCCATCCCCATGTCCCCCTGGGCGAATTACACATTCAGAGTTATTGCCTGGAACAAGATAGGACCCTCAATGCCATCAGCCCATTCCACAGTATGCACCACTCAACCTGATGTACCTTACAAAAATCCATCTAACGTTATGGGAAATGGCACAACTCCCCAGAATCTTGTTATTAGTTGGACTATTATGCCTCAGATAGAGCATAATGCACCTAAATTTATCTACAGAGTTTATTACAGACGAGATATAAGAGGAAATGATTGGATGAGAGCTGATATTTCTAACTGGAGAACACATTCGCTTGTAGTTGAGAATCAACCGACGTATCAACGTTATCACATTAAAGTGACAGCGATCAATGAGATTGGAGAGTCCAGAGTGGTACCTGATATTGTCATTGGATATTCTGGGGAGGATCAACCAACAGCAGCACCAACAAATTTCAAAGTTGAAAATGTTCAATCTAGTACAACTGCAGTGCTCACATGGACTGGAGTTCCCTTGGACTCAGTCAATGGAGAATTGAGGGGTTACAAAGTTCAGACTTGGACAGAAAGAGATGGAGAAGATGGTATGAGGGAGATCACAGTGCCAGGTGCTGATAGCACTAGGGCAGTTATCAATAAATTTGTGCCGTTCAGTAAGAATTATGTGAGAATATTTGTCTATAATGGAAGGTTCAATGGACCCCATTCAGAGACATTGAGCTTTCAAACCCCTGAAGGTGTCCCTGGAACTGTCCTGAGTCTTGAGGCCTATCCTATGGGATCCAGTGCCTTCTGGCTGAGGTGGACTAAACCGGCTGAACCGAATGGTCAATTGACTGGTTACAGAATTTATTATCAAGTGGTCAATGGCACTGAGTTGGGAGCACTTCTGGAGCGTCAACCTCATGTCCTCGACCCTCAAGCCACTGCCACTAAATTAGCCAGTTTGAAACCTGAAACCAAGTACAGGGTGCACATTAAAGCTACAACAAATGCTGGTGAAGGGGTGAATTTCTATATCGAGGAAACCACAAAAACCTCCAGAAAACCCGATGTGCCGACTTTCAGATGGGAGAATGTTCCCAAGGACAATGGTTATGCCACTGTCAGAATTATTTGGATGCCCAATCGACAAGAATATCCTGGCAGTCACTTCTTTGTGACGTACAGGCTTTATCATCATCCTCATCAGCTTCAGACTGATCCTGAGTTCCAGCGGGATGAGATTGAGGTCAGGGGACTTCAACCTGGAGAGACTTATGAGATGAGGGTGATAGCAGTTGATGGAAAATATCTAACAGCTAGTGAACCGCAGTTGGTGTGGACGAGCGATGATGGACCCATCATTGAACCTGCCGAGAATTTTGCTATTTCTAGCTGGTTTATTGGTCTTCTCCTGGCGATACTAGTGCTCATTCTACTGCTGGTGCTTGTTTGCATGGTGAAACGTAATCGTGGAGGCAAATACGCAGTTCTTGAGCGTGACTTGACAGCAGGAAGGAATGAGTATCCCGATGGTTTCAGTGAATATTCCCAACCACTGGACACTAAATCCACTGGTGGTCGAGCTTCCGCTGCTTCATCGTCTCGTCACGATGGAAAGCAGCATGACTCCGATGAGGATTCCATGGCAGAATACCAAGAGGGTGACCCTGGTGAGTAATTATATTAATTCTTGTGAATTTGTTACTCTTATCAATTGAAAAGGACAAGAAATTCCAAAACCATTTGAATAATTGAACGAATCTATGATAGGAACCGTTGAATATTTTGGAATCGTTTTATAATTTATTTTTTTTCGTAATGTCATTCTCGTGTTTAACTTTCTCTTTATTTATTTGTTGTTTTTTTTTTTACGGTTTTAAAAAAATGAAGGGATGAACGAAGATGGATCATTCATTGGTCACTACGGACAGAAAAGGGCGGAACCTAATCCTCAGGCCTTCGCTACTGTTGTTTGAGAAAGGTATGAAGGTTGATTTATGTTTTTTAATTTATTGTTTTCATTTTTTATTGCTTTTACTATTTTTTTTTAATAATGCGTTATAATATTAGGCTTATATGGTATATTTTGTACTTTATAGTCATAAGTGGTGATTTGATTTAATTGTAAGAAATATATAATTAGAGAGAGTTTAAATTGCAACTGGGGCTATTCATGACTTTTACAGCTGATGCATTGTTATTCCCATATTTTTGCCAAAGTCACGTACAAAAAAATATTTTCACAAAATCTCATCTCCAAGAAATCCATACCTATTTGTTTTTCAAAATCAAATATTTCTGGCAGAAACTATTACGCAGACATACTCAGTGGAATTTAATAATAAGTTTAAGGCCCGAATGGACTGTCTGGAAAAGATAATTTACTCCAAAATTGGGACTTCTAATTACTCCGTCAATTAAAATCGTTTTCTCCGATAATTGTTAGCTAGCGGCCTAGTGGTTGACAACCGCTGGAACGCTAGCTAAAAATTATTGAAAAAAACGATTAATTGCCAAAGTAATTAGGAATCCAAATTTCGGAGTAAATTATCTTTTCTAGATAATCCACCCGAGCCTTAATACATTTTCTATTGAGAAATTTTCTTAAAAAATTCTTCCACTCCAATTTTTCTATTTTTGTTTTTAATTTCATTTTTCATTTTTCATTTTTCATTTTAATTTTTTTACTTCATTGTTATTCTCTTTCAATAAAATGCCGATGAATAAAGACGTTGGAAAGATCTAAGCTATGAAATTAATTCAGGAAATATTTAAATCTGATGCAACCTATAGAGAAAATTGAATCTGATTCTATTTCTGTAAGATATTTTCTTTTGATCGTTTTTATTAGAAAAAAAAGATTTTCAATATTCGCTAGAATTACGAAACACTAATAGAATGCTCGAAAGAAGTCGCAGATAATTTCTATGAATTTTTCTGATATGGACGAATTATGCATATGTGTCATGCACTTTCTGAATTATTTTATTTATTTTGTAGGACGGTTCACAGAAGATGGATCATTCATTGGGCAGTATGGACCAAAGAATCAATCAGATCCATCGAACAGTCCTAGCGCAATGGCAACGTACGTTTAATTGGAGATGAAACAGGTGTCTCCGTTCTTGCAAAAACGCCCAAGAGCTGCCAATGGAAATCTTTCTTTAACAAAAAAATGCAACTGATAGAAAAGAATAGACATTGCGCCGAGCGCAACATCCATTTTTCACTACCAAGTAGGCCGTTTCAATTTTCAAATTTTATACGTCATTCGAAATTAAGTAATCGAATGAGATAATTTTTCAGAAGTATCTCATCATATTTTTACTCATTTTACCAACAGAATTTTTTATAAAGAATAGAATTATTATTAAATTTTAACTCATGACATATCGTCAATCAACGAGTCGAAAAATAGTGTAATAGTGTACACTATAGATAATAGGAAAACAGTTTATTGACTGTTGATCTTTTTTTACAAATTTTGTTAATATCAATTCCGTCCAATCTTTGTGTCTAGTTGATTAATTGTAGATTCAAAGAACAAAAAGTGTTTTGCTTAGTTTATTATTTACACTAGATTAATAAATATAAAAATCTCATTGGAGTCAGATTATTTAGTCAAACCCAAAACTTACAACTGAATTGATATGCAGCTGCAATTCTTGAAAAGATACAGTCAATCCCATCGTTTTTCTGAGAGAAATCATTAAATTTGAGAGAACAATGCCATTGTTGAGAGCTTTTTCTCAAGTTTTATTTAAAAATTTGGAAAGATTTTAAAAATTTTATTGAAAATGTAATTAGACATGAATCAATGAAGAAGGCATTCATTCCATTTAACATAATTTGGGTTGACCCTTTAGTTGAAGATTTAGCACAAAATGGTTTGTAATTAAGTGCTGATTCGTCCTTCGATTATTCCTGCCAGAGTATTTTTAGAATTACGAATAATTCAAGCTGATATTTGATGCATGAAAGAGACTTTCTCCTTTGCGACGTCTCCTAAGAGAATTACTGCGAATTACCATGAAATACAGTAACCACTGATGGAGATATTTGAAATCATTCTTTTTCAATTATTATTTCTCAATTGGAATTGCACAATTATAATGACATAATGAGTCAATTGCAAAGCGCTCACTGACGAAAAAACAATTTTGATTACTTCCAATAAATGAATTTACGCCTATCAAATAAATTTACTCGACAGGATTATTATTTTTTAACAATGCATTTAGTATATAAACGACTAAGACTTCTGATTTTTTCAAATATATTAAAAGTGTACACACGAATATATCGTTATTTATTATTAATTATTAATTACGTGTACGGATTAAATTGTCGATCGCATCACTCCAATAATTGTAGAAGAATTACGGACTCATCCTTCATTTCATCAAGATCATAACTATAAAATGGATTGATGACGAATGATGATGAACAATTAATTTAAGGAGAACAATTATTTCTAGTTAATTCCTCCTCAGCTGCTATGAACCGATCACATTTGTATCTGGTAAATCTTGTACTACCTTCGTAAAGTTTTTGGATCATACACGCGATTTAATTATAATTTTCACATTTTCGATTGAGTAACGAATCCATCGGTATCACAGAATATTGTAACTGTATACTTTTCATGAATTCCAATAAGGAAAACGTTAACGACCTGACGATCAAACGAATACTTCTTGCGAACATGTCTAGTAATTTTTGTTCTGACCCTTCGATTCCACTGTCTACCACCAGAACAATAGACTGGAAAAGGCAGTGGGAAAATCCAATTTATCTTTTTATTTTTTTGTGTAGTGGAGATTAACGAGGGGGTTGGAGGCTGGTTGGCGTTGATATACATATTGTTGGGATCAATCAACGGTGGTGTTAGCACCATAGGTATACGACAAGCCAAACCGGACCCCCTGCGGTCCTTTCGCGCTCGAAGACCTCGTTATTGTCCACCTCTTCTCATCCACCTTCATTTTACCTTTTTTTTCCTCTACCTCTCTTCACCCTTCTCTCCTTTCAAGAACAAGAAGGCCCGGTCAGGAACGGGTCCGTAGAAGTCTGGACAGAAGTCGTGCGAGATCTGACCGATAATGTAATTATGCAGGACAGGTTTTTTGTGGCCACTCTGTACAACTCTCTTGATCTCACGGTTACCTTTAAGACAAAGATACCCATGTGTCGACGTTCAAATAAAAACAACAAATCCTCAAATAATTAACCATAGCATTTATAACCTTTTTACCGGTCTGCTAAATTATGTAACTGGTTGAATGCACGTCAATATTTATCTCCATCTTTTCTCAAAATAAGGGACTATGTCAAGTTCTGCAGAAAAAAAATCCCTTGCCCAAGGGTTCAGGTTTTTAACACCCGAAGAACTTGGCACTCTCATTTATTTACGACGAAGCTATCGGTAAATACCTCATCATTTTGGGATTTTCAAGGTATCATTACTACTGATTATTTTTTGTGAATGAATTTCGACCAGTCAGGGTGCAGCTTTTTATGAGAAATACCAGATTAGATTCCATTTTATGTCAAATATTTTCAATTTATTTTTCGGATATTTCGCAATAAGTTTCTCATCTTTGGAATTTCCAGAAAGTCTATTGAAAATTGCCTATCTTTGACAAATTGATTTTAAAATGACCCTAAAGAGGCACAGGAAAGAAAATTTCTTTGATCTTTCTGCCTCCACAGCTTCATAGATTGAATTATTGCTGAATTTGCGAAAATAATCGGACAAGTACTTCGAGTGCTTTAAAATAAGTCGAGTATTACCCGAAAACTTACCTCTAAATACATAATCATTATTAATCGCTATTTATGTTCTTCATCGGGTAATTTAGCTTTTTAATCCGTTATTTAGTTTTTAATCTCATAATTTAAGTTGGTCACCCAAAATTGACGAGTTCAAATCCTATAATTTATGCGGTTTAAATCATAATTAATATTAACACTTTTTGCTACGGAATTTTATAGGATCCAATGTTGGTAATTTCCAATTGATAATTTTTTCAAGCATAATTTTTTTGATTAATAAGCAGTAATCCTTTTGTAGATTACACCTTAACGTACTATTCGTGATGAGATTTTCTGAGTGCCGAATCAGTTGAACACTCCAATTAACATTTTTCCACAGTGATTTTGAAGTTGTGAAGTTGGAAAATTCGAAACCCAAAATGCCCACGAATTGCCGGAGAGAAAATGGTGGCAAAAATGGAATTTTCGAGGAATATAAGATTAACAGAGAGAGTTAGCCGAAGGCGAGCACGGTTTGCATAAAGTTCAAGGTTGTACATGTGAAGTATCTCAAGTTGTTTACCGCCACGTGCTTGAAATTTGAGCTACCCCATGCGGAAAACAAGTACTTAACGTCCGGCAATCTTGTCTCGCCTGATAAAATGATTTTTTTCACGCTAAACGATATTATGAGGCGATTTTTTCCACATAAATAAAGTCATTGGTTTATTTAATGGAGATAAATGATGGCTTTGAGACATGAGCAAAAGGAATGATATTGTACCCCTTTCGAAAATGATTGGTCTTCGCTAAGTAGGGGCCACCTCCCACCCAATTTTTTTCTTTAAGACACGATCAAGCGGAAACAAGGTCGTATGGACCATGTAGGCACGAGTTAATTGTCTCTTTCTTCTCACATCCTTGCGAGTTAAATGAAAAGGAAAGAAGATCCCCTCATTGTGTGCGAAGAGCACCAAAGGGGACCAAAGGAAGGTGACGTTAAAAACTGGTTCTCCACTGGCTCAATCCTTCTGTTCGTGTGTTCGATCAGAGAATCCGCAACAACTGCAAATTTACGCAATTTTTGCAATTTCAAACTTTTTTTTTTTAACTTTTCAATCGAACCGCTATTTTCCTTCAGATTCCAATTCTATTCCTCGTGTCGGTGGGACTAAACACCTTCCACCGGAAAGAATATATAGAATATGTGCTTGGGGAAGTCGAAACATATACTTAAATAAATACTTGAACAAGTATTAGCTATAGACGTAACTCCATCAAATGCCAATGAGGAAAATTTTACGGAATTGTTACGTCATTATCAGCAGTTCCGGTAAATTATTGTAATACTGAAAATCCGAGAGAATTTTGTAACGAATTCCCTAAATGGTTCTATACATTTCCATACATTTTCCTCTTTTTTTTATGCAGAATTGAAAAAAAAATTAATTTCTATTTAAGAATTTATTCAATCAATACATGCAATGAGAAAATTTCATGACTGAATATTCTATTAGTTTAAAAAACAATACAACTTCCCCATTCTCGTGATTCATATATGCGATTTACCAAAAAAAATTAACATTTACCGCAAAATCTTCTTTCTAACAAAAAATAATCTCAATTAGTAATTAGTAATTTTACTAGACAAAAAAAAACCTTTTTTCCCGGTGCAGCTATATCCACGATTTACTATGAACGTTAATCTTGGAAAATTTTTGATGGAATAGGGCATTTGCGATAAGTAGCTTGTAAACTTGTCAAATGCCCGTGTGTACACTTGGTCAGAATTCTCTCGACGCAATCAATATGAGTCAGCAATAAAAATCTGTTTTACGTCTCGAGAACATTTTATTGCACTTATCAACATCATAAAACAGACGACCGTGTGGATCACGACTTTTGCATTCACTCAGTGGAACATTATCACTGAAACTAATTGGTAATCAATCGGTAATTGGTAATTCATAAAGAGACCGGATTCACTGAGAGGAAATAATTAATTTTGTCAAGTAAATTTGCCGGCTTGAAGGAGATTATTTTCGAATTTTTATAGTTATTTAGAAATTTTTATTTGTGAGATTTCGCTAGCAGTTGTCACCGCTACTTACAGTTTTCACTTCAAATAGCATAAAAAGAGAGATTTCTTAAGCACTCGTGTGAATGTTACAAGCGGAACGGATGCCGAGGCGTATAATTACACTCGTCTGAAAGTGTAATTGCACTCTTTACAGCTGATGAGAAGAGGCGGGTATTCGTTAGGCGAAGCGTGCGCAAAACTCTTCCTTTTTGACTTGTATTATCTATTGGAAAAGTGTTATTTGATTCTCGGGATGTTATAGCACATGCAAAAGCCAAGATATATAATGCCACGAGCGAAAGAAAAAACGCTTTTAGACACAATGTACCATAAAATACTTTTCTTCACAATGTGCGGGAAAGTCACTTTTTACACATGTAAAGTCAACCGGCGCGTGCCTGAAAAGTTACTTTTCGGCACATCGTGATAAAAAATAAGTTTCGATACTCGTGGAAAAGTATTTTATGTTACCCGTACTTTTATTGTCCTAGGAAGGTAAGAGGCCGCTTATCTTCCTCCTTTTTTACTTCCCACCCTAGGGCATTAAAAATTATCGTCTCGTCTGACCTCGTAACATCAAGGCGTGACATAATAGATGCCACGCAGTCTGATAAGCATTTTAATACGATACTTGATAAAAAGATAAAATACGTTCCCAAAATACTTTTCAGCTCTTGTAGCATAAATTACTATTTGAAACGCGTCGAATATCGTTCACTCGATTATATGAAACCTGGAACGGATTATATGAAACACACTTTCTCGCAATCATATCGAACTACACTCTTTTCTAATACCTGTCTCTAAAGTTCCCTTTCCGGAGCGTTCAGCGCTTGTGCGGAAAATGATTGTTTTCCGTGCGTAAAATGAATTGGTCGACTGGGATTCACACGGAGCGTTCGTAAAATGTCACTTTATACATCGTGGATATATCGGAAAGGAGTTTTCTTCATTGAATTTCCGTGGAGCGTTCTCGCTGAAATATTGCGAAATTGCGAAATTATTCGCTTCTCGCAGATAATCCGCAACCAGTGTGCACACACCCTTATCCCGGTATTGGACTGGGTAAGATAGGGATCTCCAGTTGCGAGAGACTGGATGCTGCAGGCCTTTTCTCATATTGAGTCAGTCGTCAGTCCGTCAGTTACTTAGCCACTGCCACGGTCTTCGCAGCAGCTCTACCTTTTATCTGTCACGGATCTTCATCATCAGTCGAAAAAAACTCCACCTCAAAAATAAAAATCATAATCAAAAATAGAGTGCACAATTGGCATTTATTGATTGATTGATCAATCGATATTTCTAGCTTTGAGTCAAGGTAACAAAGCGTGATTTGAGATAGCTAGAAAATTTTGAATTTGACGGACGAAAAAAAATAGATAATTGTGCGAATAAATCGGCTGGAGCGATCGATCGATTGATTGATCTTCTGGTGGTTTGAGTGGATATTTGCGATATCCGTGAAATTTTGAATTTCACGGTTGTTAGACGGTGAGTGCTGGTGGATATACCGTAAGGGAAGGGCATTGGGTTGGAAAGCATCATCCTGGTGCCGCGGCGAAAGATAAGCACCTGCTAACGACGATGCCGTGGGCCTCGTCCATCCTATTCACTGCTTTTCTCCTCCAAATTGGCCAGGTTATTACCAGACATCATCGATCAGGCAATTCACATAAACCAGAGGGTGATATTTCCCTGTGGATTGATCGACAGCAAATTAAAATGTTCAGTGGTATGTTACAATTTTTTTATTTTTTCTTTTTCCTAATTTATACCTTGAAAAGTCGAATTAATCGCAAACTGTTGACTCCCTTTTGCAATCCCAATTTTCGTGTGATTTATAACTTTCAATTCTCTGGGGTTCGACCGGTATATTGCCCAGGGATAATGTTGTAATGACGGCTTAATGCCGAAATTACGAGATTGAAATGCGAAAATTGCGGGATTAAGAAGTAAATTACGATTTCGAATTCGTCAATTGCGGTGCTCGCACTCGTGGACTGCGGGAGGCAATATGCAATTACGAGATTGAAAGGGTAAAATCAAATTTCGAATTCGCAAATTACGATTTCGAACTCTTGATTTGCGGATTGAAAGAGGACTCATGACTTTTAGTTTCGTAATTTACCCCATTGGGAATATAGTAAATTACTTGAAAATACCTGAACGTGTATTTAAGATTAGTTTTTTAAATCTACTTTTTTATATTTGAAAATTTAATTTCAGTTCCTAATTCTTCTAGTTCTCTTGGAAGTTGAAGAGAATTAGATTTTTCGACATTTTTCGTCATTCATTTTTCATAATGAATCATCATTGAATTTCCTGTGACGATTTGCATTTTCAAACCTATCGCGAATATTAATTAAATTAAACAGTATTTTATTAAAGATTATAAATTTTATTAAATATTCAAGAGAATCGACTAATTTATCAATAAAAATCAATAAAAATCAATCGCAATTCCATATAAATAATTCGATATTCCAAATTTCTGAATTCCTTCCTTGAAATCTTAACAGTAATTTTCTGACAGTCCAACATTAAATTTTAATTAATCTTAATCTATTTCTTGTCTGAGTGTAATCGTGCGATTTATAGATACCATTAATAAATAATCAGCTGCAATTTAGGTTTGATCTGTAATTGATAATAGAAGTGTTAATAATAATAATTTTCGGCAATCAAATGGTAAAATGCTTTTTCGTTCGTGAATCGCCTATAGTGTTAAAATTCCGCGATAAACGACCATGTTTCTAATAATAGTTATTATCCATTCAAAAGTATTTATTTTTTCGCAGAAACAGGAATTGGTGATTCCGGGAAGAATTCTAGTGCGTGAAACTTCATCTTTCGTTTTTAAAATTAGTTTGCATTTAATATCGATCCACATATAAAAAATGGCGAGTCAAAAAACGGTATTTCAGAAACAGAAGAACGTGAAGGAAATTTTGAGGAGAAAAGTCGCGAAAATTTCTCGCCATCAATAATTTTAATGGATTAAAAATAAATATAGGTTTTTTTTTGTAGGATTAGAAATGGAGATCTATGCAATAAGCGAGGGGAGAGTGCTGTCGTATTTACTCGATCCAGAGTTCGAGATTAAACTACCAATAATACCCAGTGAAGTATCTTACGTAAATTTGACGTGGAAATCAGGTGTTAAGAGGTACACCTACAATTTCTACCAGCTGCAATCCCAGGATGAATCGATTCTAAAAACTCCGTCCATTACGATTAAATCGAAGGGACGAGTGCCAAGAAAACCAAAAGGTAATTTACATTTTTCACATTTTCTCTTTCCTAAATCATTAACTAAAATGTTCGAGCAACTAATTGACGTGGGATCACAGGTGATTATGCACTGTTGGTTCAATAAATTCAATAAGTTCAAAAAATATAGTAGGGAATTTTTACTGAGCTACTGGTATTTGTTTTTCGTGGAAAGAGTACTTTGGAAAGGATAATTTAGCCGAAGAATTCTCAGCAGATTTCCACGTGAGCCTCAGAGATCCCTAAGGTTTTTATCGCAATGTGCCTTATGTAAATGTAAGGGATGGAGAGAATCATTACCTTTCAACTTCAATTTTTTTTCAAAGAGCATAATTGACTTTTTAAAATTTTGTACACAAAATTGTAGGAGAAAAGGAATACAAGCAAAATTTTCTTGCCTTATTCATAGTATTCTAAAAAAATTTTCTACCAGCATAGATTTAATGAGAATGTGAAACTATTGGACTAATATTTATTATCAATCATTAAAAAAATTTACACACATTGTACAAAAAAGTGGAAATCCTTATTTTCTTCAGTATATTTTATATTATTATTATTATTAGCATTATACTTTATTTTTTTAGATTAATTTTTACGCAAAATTTGAGGTAGATAAAAAGGTCGATGCGATATTTTTGCTCAAATTTTTATTTAAGCATTTTATATAAAAAATGTTCATATGATCTCTTCCCCTCCTTATATGCGATATATTAATGTCTATAGCGTACTTCATAATTTCCGTCGGCTTACCCTCAATTTTAACAAAATATATGCATTTCCTCCCCTCGGGAATCGACGGTTACTATAACTGAGAAAAGTTGGGAAAATTCTCACGGTATAAACAACACGACATATTTAACAGATAATCCGTTAGAATTAATTGAACCCTTTCGATAATCCTTCACGAATGCGAATGCAAGTGTTAAATTTCATTTTTCATATTTTTTTAACATCCTTTATGGTATTAACAAGTGTTGAAATTCCACGGTAAACAATCATGTTTATAATAATAGTAATTATCCATCTAAAAATATTTATTTTTTCACAGGAAAAAGGAAAAATTTGTGATTCCATTTCCATTTTTCCATTTTTTAATTTTTTTTGCATTCAATTTCTCATGATTCAAATGTATAGTTGACTGCGATAGACAAAAATTTTCCACCGAAATCGAAATCGAAAATTTTTATAGTAGAGCCCAAAAAAATTCCCTTTTCTATAAATCTAATTCACATAGTGAATAATTTTTTTGGATAATTGCCCATAATATGTTATATATTATATTATATATTATATATTATGATACTATATTAAAATAGATATTATGGGGATTATTTTCTCAGTGTAGATTGGTGCAAGTAGGAAATAAATATTATATGGAAAACGTTATAAAAAATGATAATATAAAATTGGTGTGGATTCCAGTCTGGTCGGAGTCTGCACCTTCGACTTTAAGGTCTTCGACTCAAACTCGCTAATTTTTTTCGTTGACCCCACTGAACTCACGTTCAACTTCACTCATTAGTGATTTCTTGTCGTTCCCTGAATGTTACACCGCCTGTGTTTTGACTACGTACAGAAAAAGCTCACTATAAAATACCAATTGTTGACCGTAATTTGTCATGCTTCTAATCGGTTAGATTACCATGTCAAACTCGTCAATTAAACGGTCAAAAATATTTTGTTAAAAGTACGGAATTCATAATTCTTGCACTGATTATATAAACAGCTGGGAGAATTTAAATGTCACAATTTTTGACCGGTTGAAAATGTCTGGAAAAATCTGAAATAATTATGGGAGAATCAAGTAGAATGAAATACTTGCGGAAAAACGTTTTTAACTCATTCCCAGCAATTTTTTTTCGCCAAAAAATGTTGGAGACAGTTCAAACGCGTCCCAGAGTTTTTTGCGAATGAAATTTTATCTTTTAATTATATTGTGGTTTTCTTACCTTTTTCATTTTTTAATATTCTCAAAAAATACGTCATCTAATGTGAATCTCTCAGTTTTCCCTTTTTTGATCGTGGAATTCCTTGTAGGGGATTTTAACATTTTTTTTTCGGGTAAGTGTAATTAAATTCTGAAAAAACTAAAATGTTGAATAATGGATTTTTACGATCGTTTCTTTCCACTCGTCTCTCATCGAAACTCCTGATTCATCTCATTTTACCCGCATTCCATTTTATCCTCTGTCTCATTTTGCCCGCGTTCCGTTTTGCCCGGATCTCCCCTACTAATTACGGAAAAGATACGTAATTTTTGTTGAATATTTTTCTCCGCGTCCGTGATTAAAAACGTATATTATGCAATTTGCACTTGTAAATTATGAACTTGAAAACGTAATTTACCGGGATAATTTACATTTTTAATGGAGTAATATATGAGATGATTCCGGTAATTTCAGAGTGGAACATCGTAATTTACGTTCAAATTTTTTTGCGTCCAACATAAAATCGTCAAAACATAGTCAAACCGTGAAGGGTAATTACCTGAGCAGCTAAAATTCTGGAGAAAAACTGTGGGTTATTGACATTATTTGGCTTGGTGCCGCTTTCATGTCAGGTTCTGACTAAATATTATTCTACCTAGTATTTCGGTACCTCTGGGAAATGCAAGTTTCCAAATTCGCACCAAACTATTTACATGAAGTCTAATTTTATCAATTTTGCCAACAATCGTTTTAAATATCAAGTGAATTCACAGAAACGGTCAGTCGAATAATTGCACGTTTCAACAAATCGATAGATTAAATATTTAATAATTTTTATGATTTTCTTTCTTTGCATAAATTGTGCAAGAGTGACCAGCATTTTTTGCAATTATGGGGGGGGAGGTATTAATAAGTTAATAATCAACTAGAATACATTGGCCAAATTATTATCTATTCTGAATTTTCCGAAAAGAAAATTCGAACCTCCAGTTTTGCCCATTCGCTAAAAAGACAAATTCCGTGAGAATTTTAGAACCTTTAACGAAGGAGCGAAATTCGGATTTTAATATGAAATTCCCTGAGTTTTTTCCTGAATTTTGTCCTGATTTTTTGCCCATACAGTACATGACAATTGGTCACGGAATTTTTTATCACCGATATTTTCACAACCGATGAAACAAAATCACAATTTTTTCCTCTTCAACAAATTTCAAAATAAATTCCACGGGGAATATCGGTGAAATTGAAATGTCTTTCTTTGATAAAACAATACAGCGAGTGACTTTTTACAGAATAAAACATATCAAAAAGTAGGAGAAATTCTCGGTTTAATTACCACTCATTGGGAACTACGAAAAAGATCACTACCAGAATGTCTTCCTTCGTCCCGGAGATATTTCCGCAAAATCCACCGGAAAATCGAGTTCACTCCATTCTTCAACGTTCCATTTCCCCCGCCGTACTCTACTCTTCAAAATGAATTAGCAATAATCATTTGCTCATTTTTATTTTCAAAATCCTTGTTGTACCAATATTTCCCCTCCATTCACACTTCCACTCCTCGAAGGACCATAATGATTGGTAATAATATACAATAATAATAATGAAAATATAAAAGTAGTTCAATTTATTCTAGATATATTTCCGAAGAATCGATATAATTTATTTAAGGTCTTGACTTTAGATTAGACTTATCAACTCTCTTAATAACATCAGATAATTTACATTAATGCCGTAATAAACTTTAATTAGCAATTCATGCCATCCATTATGAAATCACTTACACTTTTTATTGCACATGAAATTAAATGAGAATGGGAATGCTTATATTGATCCTGTGAGGACGTAATTGAAGTCACTGGAGTTTCCACGAATTTTAATGTAGAAAACCTTAATATAAATTGCATAACACGTATAAAATTTTCTACACGTTATTTTTCATCTGCCTATCATTCGATTTTTATTGTCAAATGGAGCTGGTTATGAATAATTTTTATATAATTTATTCCGTGTCCCGATCTTATACACAAACATTTCATAGATTTACAATAATGCAACAAATATTTTTGTCTAGAAGAAAATTCGTCGTTTCCTCTAAGAAAATACATTAGATAATTTTTTTATAATCTGTTGCCTCAAGAGCGAGTAGTAGAACGAATACTAGAAAGATGAATTGTTATATTTATGAAAAATGCATCCTGAAAGAATATAACAATGTTTTAAGATGCGACGAGTTCTCTAATAATATGTTTCTTTCTAGAATTCAGTATTAATTTGCCGTGTTCTGGAAATAGCTCCGGTATAGGACAATTTGGAATTGGTCTGATGATCGAAACGCGCAAGCATAAACCACTGAATGGAACACCTCTTCATTTCAGCCTGAGAAAAGAATGTGCTGTGCGCGGTGAGTGCGTCAGTCGCGCCCAAGATCACCACTTCTTCACTCACACAGACAGTTCTGTATCACCAGTAATAAAAAAGATAAACAACAAAAAAATTGCATGCTTAATTTTTTAAATATACACTTATTGCTTCAAAGCCAGACAATCCAGTGCATGAATAATATGAAAATCAAAATTTCTATACACGAGATTATTTCTGCAAGTCGTTGATTTTATTAACCGATTAACAAATGAATATAAATTTATCAAATTGATTCCACTCTAGCTGCTAACAAATTATAGATTATTCATAAGCTCAGACAGATAATTTATTTGAATTGAATGGAAAATGCCGACACATTAGTTATTCGTTTGGTTATTAAATTCAAATGATGATTCAAATTTATTTGGGTTTGAAAAATTATGAAAAATTAAGATAAACTAATTTATTTATTAAATTTTCAGAGCCAAATTCCGGACCGTGCCCAGATGGTTATCTAGGACCTCCACATTGTAAAAAAGCTCTGTGTTATCCAGCTTGTATGAACGGTGGAAATTGTACGGCCCCAGGGGTGTGTTCCTGCCCTCCAGGTTTTCAGGGTCCCAACTGTGAAGGAGGTAATAGCCATCCCTTTATCAAATCCTCCCTTCCCTTAAAGAATCTCGAGGAAATATCAATTAATCATTTATACATGCTCAAATGACTTTGGATATGGCAATGGCTGTCTTGCAGCCAACTTTAATGACATTGGTTAATGCATCGTAAAAAGGTGCCTGTTCTGCTCCATGATCTAGTCCAACATCATGATGCTCCTGCTCCTCATCTCTGAATTTCTGTATCGTATCCATTAATTCTTTGTCCACCTCAGCACTCTCCATCAGTCTTCTCAATTGCTCATTGTAGTGATCGACAATAACAGTTTCAACTGCTACAGTACATGCCATTGCAGCTTTTTCACCGAGAAGAGCTGTCCCAGCGCCAAGAACAAATCCAGCTGCATTCCACAGGGGTAGCATTGCTGTTGGACGAACTCGATGTTTTTTTATTAATTCCTCGAATTTTTCCCGGTGCTTTTTCTCTTGCTCCCACATGTGCGAGATTGTTTTGCCGGCTGGAGTTTGTCCTGCGGGGTTTAATTTGATTTAATTGGTTTAATTGGCTCAATTAATTAGATTTGATGAACGGAGGACAAGAAAGAAACGTGGGAATTCATTCTCTTTTTTGCATTTCAATCATTTTAAGGGGCAGCCAAGTCTGGGAGCACCGGAAATATTCTGATTGATTAAAATTTTCGATTGGTGCTAGGCATCCGATTTTAGACATCGTCGTCAGTAAAAAATACCAAAGAAATTTTTAAGAATTTGTTGGTGGATTTTCAAGACTAATAAAATTTATTACATTAAAGCTATCGAAAATATTCGGGAATCTTTGAGTCGTGAGAATTATGGACAATCTAAAATTCTACATCTCCAACATTTGCTTAGTTTGAGCGCGGGGTAATATGGGCATGCTTTTATTTAAATTAGTGTAGTAGTAATTAAGACTGTTGAATGTCTTTATCGGGTCACATATTGACTATCTCCAATGATGAGCGTTTTGATGACAATATTTAATTATTATCACATTCAATGTCGACTCGATTGTTCTGAAAAAATAATTTTTTTGATTGTTTAACGATGCAATACATTCAGTATAGAAAAAATCGTTGAAGCATAGTCAATTGGAATTTTAAACCAATTCGATGATGTATGTATTATGTTAGTAATTTTGATGCACTATTGATGTTTCTTTATTTCTGGAAAATCGAACTCGACTGTCGACGCAAATGTTACAAGTGTTTATATTGCCCGAGCATTCCCAATAATACATTTATTTCATGTATTTGGCATGAATAAATTAATATTTTATTAGTTTTTTTTTCATGATTAAATGCATTATATTGGGAGATTTTCTATTGCCAATTTCCCTTATTCAAATACGAAAATGTTTCAAATCGCCCATCATTCTTTCAATTAAACAAATTACCATTAGACACTGATTTTACCTAAGACAGCCATTTGTCCAGCATAAATCCTATCTGCACCCAATTCTCCAGCATGATTGACTCGGATTATCTCATCCAACAATTTCCCTGATTTTGAATCGGTCGTTGCAGCAGATTGACTCATATACCGCACCCCATTTCGTCCCAGTCGCAGCATCGTACCTGAAAAAAAAATGAAGAAATTAAAAAATCATTTGTGTTTTAGGAATTTGCACAGACAAATGCTTGAACGGAGGAAAATGCATACAGAAAGATACTTGCGAGTGTTCGAAGGGATATTTTGGTCTGCGTTGTGAATTTTGTAAGTAGAAACAGACACTTTTTTTCAAAAATTTGATTTAACTATTGAATGCCTGTTTGGAACCACCGAATGTCTAAAATGATAACCGCATTAATAGCTCTCAAAAAAATCAGTGAATGTCGATCAATATTTACTGATAATACCACGAGAGCTTCGAAATTATCGGATATTTCCCGATAGATTCGTTGCAAACAAATGAACGTGTCATGTTTTCCAGGTTCAATTTTTCTGGAAAACTTGTCAAGCTTGGCAAGAGTAATTTCGAACCCCGATTCGTATTCGGGGGATTTTTTTTTCGTTCAACTTTCAGCTGAATGAATTGCCCCATGAGACTAAATCTATATTTAAAAAATGAGAAAAGATATTCACAAAATACAAAATAATTCAATTTGTCAATTTCAATCACCAGTTAACTCGACTGAACAGTTTTTTTTCATATACGTAGATAAGAGATAAAAAAATCCAAAAATTATCGATATAACATCGAGTAAGCTCGTCGAATGATGCAATTCTATTGGCTAAAATTTAGACGGAGTAAATGATCCTTGGGATTTCCTAATTTAAATATTTCTACATAGAATTGTTCGATGGAATATTCTGATTTGTTGTTTTATGTTGGAAGCAAAATGTGTAATTCCTTGCTTAAACGGTGGAAAATGCAAGGGAAACAACATCTGTAGGTGTCCAACTGGCTTCAAAGGTAATCATTGTGAGATTGGCAGACGTTCACCACAGAGATCTGCCTGCACTCGTGCCTGCAGGAATGGCACCTGTCAACCTGACAACACGTGTTTATGTGCATCCGGATGGTTTGGAAAATTATGCAACAAAAATAAACCATGGGCTTAGCATCGCCAGAAGATAAGAGAAAACCTCGAGGAAGAAAAAAACGAATGAAATTAGAGCCTTCTCGATGACTTCAGTATTTCATTTTTTTTTTCGCTGTCGTACATATAGTTGTCTTTGGTAGTATTAATCAGTATAGGGCATATTTTTAATTTAAAAGAAAATTGACTCAGTGGTGCTTGGGATTGACGTGAGATTGGAGATGAATCCTGAATCAGATGTGATATGTAAAGCTGCTTTACAAGATGATCGATATTTTTTTTTATTGTTGAAAAAGAAAAAAACATTTGTACATTAATAAAGTATTTTTACCATTCTAAATTGTTTATTTTGGATATTATAGTGAGAGTTTTTTATTTCAGATAACAAAAGGAAAAACGTTGATAGAATTTGAAGAAAATTGTGCTCGAAATTTTGAAGTAATTAGTTGTGTGATATTTCGTAGTTATTATCCCGTGAAATTGGATGTAATTAGATTTGTTTTATTAATTGAATAGAAAAAAGAAATTATCATTTTTTATTTTCAAAATCGGGTAATCCATTGAAAAATGATAAAAATTCGTAAAAACACACTTCAATTTTTCTCTTAAATCTATCAAAAATTTAATCAATTATCAACAATTAAAATGAAATTCGTCCTATGAGATATGAATTAGCAAATTCCTTCTTTAAATATAAATATTTAAAAAATGTCAGAGTTCTGATATTCATTTCGAATTTTATAATCGAATATTGGAATTCAAAATAGGAAGACAATTTGAATGCGGAATTTCCAACGAAGAACTATTTTCGGAAATGAAATAAACTTTTTAGAAATTGAAGAATTCGCAAGTTCTATGCTTTTTTATACTACCGAAATTATTAAAAATCAAATGAAGAATCCTTACGATAGATTAGCAGTTCCCAAATTTAATTCTATGCAAAATTTATATATTATACATATATATACATATGTATATATAAATATAATATGGCAATTCCACTTGAATGAATTTCCATCCGTCATAAAAACTCCAATTTACCACCAAAATTATTAATAAAGTTGAACAAGTGGCAATTAAAAAAATGAAGTAGAAATCGCAAAAACAAATACATGTTACCACGAGGATGAATTATTGCATCAAGTGTTTCAATGCGAAATGAAGAGCTACGATTGTTAATCAAAATTGGCACACCACCTCCATTCTATATTATTCATAATTAAACCTATTTATTTGAATAGGAATTATTACCTGTCAGGTATGTACGCATAAAATATCTAGAATTCACTCAACAACTAAAACTCTTCGTTGCTGTCGGCGATCTGACGTGAATCTGATGAAAACAGACTACACTACTATATATTTATGTCATGTATAGTACAGTCACTACGTCACTTTGTGGCGGTAAATTTGAACTGGTTCCACAAAACACACTGTAATAAAAATAAGTAAATTCATCTCGTAATTTGTCATTCAGATTTTTTATTCAATTTTTCCGGCTTCTTTCACGCAGTAGAAGCTGAAAGATCCATGAGATTATAGTCTCAAAAATTTGATATTTCTGAAAATGTTATTGAAATTATCGAAATTATTGTTATGACCATTATCAATCGATATTTACATGACATTTCTATTTATTAATTAATAGTAACTTTGATCAGCTTATTAGCTATCTCCGAATATAAAATAATTTTTAATCCCTGAAGAACTGAGATAGGGGAGTGCGGGGTAATATGTACATGTTTTTATTTAAACTATTGCAGTAACAATAAACACTATCAAAAGTCTTTCTCGGATTACTGAAGGACTATCTGATATGATAAGCTCGTTGTTAAAAAACATTTAATTATTATGTGATTGAATTTGAAATGGATGGTCCCGAAAAAAATAATTATCCTTGAAATTGTGTAATGTAATAAATTAACGTAACGAATTCAGTATAAAAAACATTATCGAAGCACATCCAATCACAATTTTGAGTCAATTTGATGACGTACATTATTATTAGCGATTATTTCGCATTTTTGTGTTCTGTAATTTTTAAAGAATCTCACTTGCTAATCTATCAATCGATTAATGTCTAAATATTCAATTTTCTTCTTTATTTATTTATTGTATAACCTGTATGTATAACCTACTCGGCTTTTTACATTTTTTGCGGTTACATGGGCCGACTTCCTCGCCAAATGTATCGCATTTGCCCCACGATCTGTACCCTGTGCACAGACTCTCCTGATGATCAAGGAAATCCATGAAAAATCTTGGTCTACAGGGGGCCTCATCGGGAAATAAGATTTCTTGATAATTCTTGGTGTCTGCCCCCCTCGACGATTTCCTAAAGATAAAAATTCCCCTGCTCTAAGCCGAACTCGAACCCGCGGGTTTCGTCGTCCAACCAAGTGATTTAACCAATTCCGCCACCGTCGTGGGTCAATTTGTCTATTTATGGTTGTTTAGCTATAGAAAAAAGTTCAAATTTAAGAATGGAACAATTTTCAACGTGTATTCGTTTTACCCCATGTATATTATCAGCATCCCCTACAGAATATTTGAAATCGTTAATATTCAGACAGCAGTTCTGCCACCTATTCCCACAGATCAATATTCGATATTCAAACCATGAAAATTCCTCGATAATTTCTAACTTCCAACAAAACAACTGCAAAAACTGAAGTATACGAACAACTATGGATTTTTAAAAAAAGAATTTTAAAAGAATTTCAGATTTAAAAAAAAGTGTCCTCTATCTAATTAACATAATAAAATAAAAAAGCACTTGAATTTGAAGCTATCATCCAAGGAATTGACATCAATACCACCGATTAAATAAATTTCACAGTAAAAAATTGAACAAAAAATCGTGCCAAGGATTTTTCTACAATTTAGCTAGCAATCAGTAAGGAAAAAGTTGTTCCAAGTTATCTAACACGTTATCCTCATATTAATTAACTTTTTTCTTATGCCATCTTACAGGTATTATTTCCTAGGAAAAGTTGAAGGGAATTTTGTCGATGTGGGGTGGATATAAAAGATTTCATAGTGGGAGCGGGAATTGTTTAAATGGGAAGAAGAGTGGAATTGTGTGTAGATGTTTCTCAATTGTCAAAAATTAATTAAATTGCTGAAGAAGTTTGGAATATTTTCGACAGTCCCAAACCAAATTTCTTAATTTAACACATAAAAGAGAGTAGATTTTTTACTTAGATTTCAATTACAAAAAGGATAACAGAGAAATTCGTCAGTTCGTCCCACCAATTAATTTAATTGATTAAATAAAAAAGCAATAGAACAAGGTTGACAATGTATGAAGAACAAGAAAAATTTAAAACAGTGAAATTTGGAGGTCTGTATGTGATTCGCCAGAAAGGAGGTTGTTTCAAAATATCGGATTCAACACGATTAAATGATATGCTCGAACAAAAAAAATCATTCAATATTTGCTCATCGAGTTTTGTTCTAATACCGCCATGAAATTCCTCCTAGAGATGTTTGAAATTTCAATGATTTGAATGCTTTGAAGCGCATAGCGCCTCGCACATAATAAACAAGCAGAATAAAGAATGTAATAATAGGATTTTTTTCTCTTCCTCTTGAGTTAGTAATTTAAATTAAACTGAATGAAGATGAACTTACACGTTTAATTACTATGAGATCGATGCTATATTGTGATTGATAAGTGATTGATAAGTTAGATAGGTCAATTAGTTTTTAGTGATTTTTAAAATTTTCTGGTGGTTTACATTAGAGGTAAATACTAAATAGTGATTAAGATGATTAGGGCGATTGGGATTATTGAAATAGTAAGTTGAATGTAGTTGAATGTTGGAGATATATTGTATGGTGGGTATTAGCTTCTGGGGCCTCTGATTACCCAACATGATTTACTACCAGAGTCACGTGTCCATCCATATATCCCCCACCCTGAAAACCCCTGAAAGCATATCCGCCATGACGGCGTTAGCCCATTTGTCGGATCGTCCAATGAGATTATTCCAGGCCCGTATACATGTATATGGTGTTGTGTCTCACCTCAGTAGCTCTACAAAAATCACCTGGAAAATCATCAAAAAATCGTAAGTAAGGTGTAAAATAAACTAGGATAATATAGGTAAAAAATGATGGAGGGACAATGGGAATAACAGAATGAAAATAGTGGTATGCGCACAGTGGTGTAAGTCAATTTCATATCATCGTGATAGTATTCAACGCGCAGACTCACTCAAAATGGCGTATGCGCTGAAACGGGATATATAAGAACCTTGTGAGTTTTGTTGTGGTAGAAATGGATAGAAGGCATCCTTGGTTTGTTAGTAACCGATCGATAAATGCGCTGCTACCCTGGCGCTCTTTATACCACCACCACCACCCCTCAAAAACCTCTACCAAAGGGGGAAACAACGTTGACTGTGTTTCATTACCTCTTGCGTACAACACCGAGATAGATTTTTTTCACTCATGGTGTCCATGGAGTCTCTAGTGCGGCTTGTTGTGGCGGGACGCCAGAATAATCGCCTCAATTCCACCTATGAGGACTCTATTATATCCTAAATCAGTGTCTCATCGCGGTCAAGAAAAAAAAACAAATACATTAATCATTTTTTAATATATACATAACCGAGTTGATATTTTAGTTTTTACTTTATCAGTGCTTCGAGGGGGTGGAAAGAAAATTTTTCCATTCTCTGGCTAAAGGAACAGACGCAACTCAGTGTAATAATGAACATTACGTGGATGTACGTGTGAAGGGGCGTGGTGTAAGAGCAATATTTTTTCAATATTCACATATATATATATTTTGTTTCTCGATATTAATTTTTTTTATGTTGCGGACCGTTGTAATTGGGGTAAAAACGTGGTGGTTAGTGGTTGTCACTTGTAGCCGTTGGGTTATGCCGCCTCGACGACGGAACATCTCCGCAGACGCAAGAATCCCCGTGTTAAAGTCTATGACCACTCACGTACCAATACAAGTTGCGTACGCAACTGAATTTCTACCACTGGGCCTGCTCCGATGACCAAACCATCTACTGAGTAAACTCCAGGCACATGCGGCATCATCGTGGAGGGATTGTCTTGGGGGGATTTGTTATTCGTGGGAGATTTTTTAAATATTCTCTGTGAGCACTGGCCTGCGCGCTTTGGTGTCGATGAGCTCACATGGCGCCTCGACAAGCGCAAGAGACCAGAGATATTGCGCGAGTTGATGTGGAACTTGAATAACTTCGCTCGTCATGAGTTTCTACCTCGTGGAGGTCCTCTCCCATTTGTTGTGTTTCTTTTTCGCGGGTTTTGGGCCACTCTCTGGAGCCAGAGAAATTCTTATCGAGAATGCCCCTCAGGAGGAGTCAGGGTGAGGCTTCGAGAAGAGCATCAAAAATATTGTCGCCTGACGTACCAATCAATCGTATGTTCCACCATTTATCAGTTGTTTTTTCTTCATCCTCTCAAATTTTTATTTGCAGGGAATTGTTATTACATTTGGTTATCGTGAGTTTCTAACTCCTGGAGGTCCTTCCATTTGCTGTGTTTTTCTCATGGATTTTGGGGTTTCCTTTGGAGTCAGGGGGAATCTTCTGGAGGTTGTTTCTCAGGGAAGAAGACTATGTGAGGCTTGGAAAAGTGTTTGAGGGATGTCCTGGTCTGACTGAAGCTCAGGACAAGGACTTGATACGTTTGTCATTTTTCCAGTTGAATGTGAGGGAGGAAATCAGCAATCAGGAATCAAAGGACAATTTCCTAGAGATTGTTTGGGAGAAGATGAAGAAGAAGAGGAGTCCAGGGTGATACTTCAAAGGATTCTTGTAAAAGAACGTCAGGAATATGTTGGACAGCAGTTGTAAATTAATCGTACGTTTGAGGTTTTCGGGTTGAATTTGTCTTCGAAGTTTTGATAATGATGAATGTGAAATTACGAAAATATTCAAATGAAGATTTAGGAGATTTTCGAAAATTTCAGCGCCAGACAATCGAGTGTACAAATGTTTTTTAAAGGCGAAAGCGCTCGTATATGATAAAAGTGTTTACTTTGCTCTCTAGTCATCTAAAAGGAACTGTCTTTCAGCGAGTCTTTTATTAGTTTCTATTTTATTCGATAATGGAGTAGTAATCCAGGAAAGATTGTTTCTGAAATTAGGATCTGGGATAGAGTAAGGTTTTTCATTACCTATTCTTTTTCTTTCTTCCTCAGGTTCAATTATCTGTATCGAATTTTATCAGCAACTACTTCAACTTGCCCTGTTTCCCAACTCAGCTGTTCCATTAATTCTTTCATTCAACTTAGGCTTTCGAAAATTCAATTGAAACTTCAATTTCAAAATAAGTGAAGATTTGAAATAGAAAACTCGAAGTTCTCCACAACTTATTACGAATCAACTCTTCAGTTCATAATCTCTCGGTTTTCAATTTCCCTATTTTTTAATTAACTTTTAATCTAATTAATTAATTTTTATTAATCTTGAATTACGTTTTTGATTAACAATATTTTTCACTAATCAAGTTTTGCTAGAAATTTACTAATGTGGTTATGAAAGGTGAAGATAGTAATGAGTCGTCCTCTGAATTCTTTTTAGGAAAAAAAAATCGTCAGTAGATAACATTCGCTTCTTAATTTCCAGTGCTTTTATCGATTATTTTCCGTGTGAAAATTCGATACTTTCAGCTGTGATTTTTTCCCGGATCTGACGTATACATAACTTCCTCTCGATTCAATACTGTTCCCCTATCCATCGGATCACCCCCAATTTCCTCCCCACTTTCCCTGATGTCGTCTTCTTACCCCTCGTACTCTCTATTCATTGCTCTACATTTAAACTTCAGCGTAAATATAAATTCACTGATATATAGAAACTTACACGAAGAACAAATTTTCCTAGGACAATACAAATTTTTTCAAACCGATTTCTTAATCCATTGCATTTCCCATAATATTTTTTATTAAATATCATTTTTGAATTTCCCTCTGCTAGCGTTTTCAGTCTTCAATTTTTTTTCTTCTCTCAATGGAATCGATTTCTATTTATTTAATTTTGAATTATTGGAGACCTACGGTATTTTATTTAGTAAATTCGGGACTTCTCGAATTTTTCAAATTTTTAATCTCTAGATAGCTATATATATATATATTATATTACTTAATGACATTTAAAAATGTCATATATATGCGTTTTAATCGTGGACACTGGGGACTGAGTGCCGAGGGTTTGGTATTTAAATTAAGGAAAATAAAAAGTTATATGTACCCCGTAATGTCAACAACGTACAGTTGCCTCGTGGGGTTCCACAAGCCGACATATGCTGGGGGGGTAACGCGTTGGTGAGGGGTGGGGCATAGGGGAGGGATAGAAAATATGACTCAGTGAAACCATATCATGATAGAGTGCCATTACTCAGTCTTCCAATCGATCATAACTTCGAACTATCGATTTTACACCCCTATTGGAAACTCAATGAAACCTTTTTTTAATAATTCCACAAAGTAATCAAATAAATAAATTATATAAAATAAATGACAAGTCACTAGGTATCTTATTTAGTTTAAAATTAACTATTTTTAATTTACAATTTGAAGTAAAAACACAAATTTTGTCATGCTATTAGTTTTCTGTAATTTGAGTTAAAAAAATTACAGTTTATCTTTTAGATTTTTAATGAAAAAAAGATTTCATTCTTAGAAATGTTTGTTTTATATTTTTTATACAGTTTTTTTTTCATCTTCAGTCAATCTTTGGTTTTCCCCTTAAAAATTAACGCGTCCCAAACGATTTGTTCAATTTCATTATTCAACTTTTTACACATAATGAGAAATAGATAGGCAATACTCTCTTTTATTCTAATTATTAGTTTTAATATTGGTAAAATGTTAGAGAAATGTATGGAATAATTAAACGAATGATGATTTATTTCCAGAGGGAGGTGATGTAGAGTCATCAAACGATTTAATTTCGTTGAAAAAATTCTTGGGTGAACTTGCAATAAAATTAAAAAAACGAAACTGGATACACAGGAGAGCGACAAGATTGAGGAGGACGTGAAAATGGTGTCCTTACCCAGTACAGAATCTGGGAATATGGACAGAATGGATCGTTTATCGGATGATGATGATGACGAACCCAGTAGTGGATCTGAGACCTACGAAGAGGGTGATCTACTGGCAGCTGCCATGGATGATGACGTGACGGCCCAGCTCGCCGCTGCAGGTTGGCAAATCAAATGCGCTAATGGTGATTTCCCATTTTTTTGCTTTTTTCACCTTTTTTTTCACCAATTTTCCTTTCAATTTCCTCTGTCTCTAATCATTCCCTGGTATTTCAATTCTTCTGCAATCCTAGAGACTCAACTCGTTGATACAGAAATTGAAATTTCGGTAATAAAATGAGACTGAAAAAATTTTAAATCTTTATTTTGCTGAGATTTTATTATTTTGTTTCCTCCAAAAAAATGACATCACGGGGAGTAAGTACGAAATCAAAAAAATGTGAATTTATTTTTGTCGTCATTTATTATGTAATGATTTTATTAGTTAATGTGAACGTTTAGGATTGCAAATTTTATAGTTTGTGTGCCTTCTTTTTCTACCACCTCTTTTAATAATTTCATTTTTTTTCTTCGTTGTCACTGATTTTATTTAACAATTATAAATTTGGAATGGGAATCCATTCTTTTTTTTCATTTTTGTTGGATTTTTAATTTCATTTCATTAGATTGTTATGATGCATTGTTGATTATCGGACTTTAATCATTTTTTAAATTGACTTTCTCATGGATTGAATGATCTGAGAGTACGCTTGTGTCAATTAATGGTCGATTAGTAAAAAATTAAGTTATTAATTATCATAGAGTTATTTAGAGAGTACTCTTAGGTCTATGCACGTTAGCATCAATGTTGCTTTGCCTCATGTTTCATGATTCTTCAGTTTTTGAATGTTGTGCAAGTGAGGATTTCTATTTGTACTAAGAACGGTTTGTTGGTTGCGTCTAGGACCTGTTGGGGTAGCGGCTGCTGCGGCAATTGTCTCAGCGAAGAAGCGGAAACGACCACACAGTTTTGAGACGAATCCCAGTATCAGGAAGAGACAACAGAATAGACTCTTGAGAAAGCTCAGAGTAGGTTCCTATTTTTTATTCATTTTCATAACAATATCCACGTAATTTTGATAGTTTCGTATGAGTCATTACTCAAGAATTTATCTAATTAATCTAATTTAAATTTCAGTTGCATCATCCGAATTTTCAATTATGTGACTTTAAGTTCGTTCTAATTCGAAACCTCCCTTTCCCATTTTTCTCGAAAATTTAGAATTGGAAGAATTAGGTTTTTCGTGACTAACATTCGTTGACAATTCAATAAAAGCTCAATGTTTATTTTCCAAATTTATTTAGTATCGCAGGAACTTCGAACTTCAGAAAAGTTCTACAGAATTTGAATGATCTAATAATTTTTTTCTATTAAAGGAGCTTTTTATGTTTCTCCCCATTTTAGAAATGTTTCCAATGCAATTTAAAACCAATGAAAAAAAAATGGAAATGTCTGTAAACTTATCAACGATTAAAATTTTAAAAACCTGGAAAATCTTAAGGGGTGACTAGCGGCAGATTTAAATGTCACTAATTATTAAAATCCGCGTCTGTCTAGATTTTCTCTGTATTTGAGGACTACAAGAATTAATAAGCAACACGAAAAGAAAAACTAATTTTTTACTGCCAATTTGCAAATTTTGCGTATAAACTATGCAATCGTATGATCTAATTTAATTTTGAGATAAAAACCTCGTTTTATTCAATTTGCCTCCCCATATTTAAATATTTAAAATGCGAACCCAATAGAAACGCATTTTATATTATATTCGATATTTCCCACAATGTCTGAAAATGAAAAAAAATGGAACAATTATCAAATCAAATTATTGATTGCTAAATGAAATTAAATATGTTTTAATTAAACGTTTGCATTAAATTCATAGAAGCTCCTCCTTGACTCATATTTATCATCTTGTTAATCATGGTAAATGGTGGGACATTTGGTTGCTAAGAATAGAACAGGATAAGTAATTATTGAATTTCCTATTTCCAGCAAACAATAGACGAATTTGCGACAAGAGTTGGCCAGCAAGCAGTAGTATTAGTAGCAACACCCGGAAAACCAAATAGTAGTTACAAAGTGTTTGGTGCAAAACCACTGGAGGATGTAGTTAAGAATTTAAAAACAATGATAATGGAGGAGCTGGAGAGTGCTCTTGCACAGCAAGCACCACCACCAGTCCAGGATGATCCGTCGCTCTATGAATTACCACCACTGATAATCGATGGTATACCAACACCCGTTGAGAAAATGACGCAGGCACAGCTCAGGGCATTTATCCCGTTGATGCTGAAGTACTCAACAGGCCGGGGAAAACCTGGATGGGGACGTGAGAGCACACGGCCGCCTTGGTGGCCAAAAGAGTTACCCTGGGCCAATGTTCGCATGGATGCTCGTTCTGAAGACGAGAAGCAAAAGGTTTTTATCCACTACATTCTTCTATTATCTCTCTGTCTTCGCTAACTTATCCATTTTTTTAACACTTTTTCTTGATAATGTTTCCATTTCACTGAAGCATTACAATCATTTGAATTTATCTTTCCAATTATATTTATTGAGACACATTACAAAACCCCAGAACAATTCCTAGTCTTTAAATTTTATGATCTTTATATTATATTCAAAGTAATCAATTTAAAGGAGTATTAATAGAGTTATTGTAAAAGAGCACGTCATAAGATCTTTGTAATTCAATTTTTTTGACTACAACATAAATTTTCCTGATTAGAAAAAAATATAAAATACAAAGACGAATAATTCAGAAAGATATAAGTTTTCAGCTGCAGATGTTTTAAAACACATTCTTTAATAATGTCTAGAATTTTTAGTTATTTATTTAATGACTTCAATCAAACTGATTCATGCTCATTAGAATTCAATCTATCATAGTAGTGTAGTACAGTTTTGGTAATTTCTTCCTTTTTCAATAAATCTTTAATTAAGGCAATAACATCCTCATTATTATAATTCAATAATCGCATAGTGAGCTTATAATTATAAAAAAATCAATTAACCACTACATGAATATTAGATAGTAAATCCATGGATTTTCTTTCACATTATCAGTTTCAATAAAATTTAATTTATTGTTGAAGCAATAAATTAAACAAATTTCATGATTTAATTAAGTTTATCCATTTACAATGAGACCAATAATAGAAATATTGAATAATGGTATGATAATTTTTGTTTAGATTTCATGGACACATGCGCTGAGACAAATAGTCATAAATTGTTACAAATTTCATGGAAGAGAAGATCTACTACCAGCGTTCAGTGAAGACGATGACAAGTCAAATGTTCTAATACAACAGCCCACACCTCATTCATCACAGACGTCCTCGAATCAGGGTCAGAGTGGCCAGTCCCAACAACAGACGGTGGGAGTTGTTCGTCTAAGCACCACAGGCTCATCTAAGGGAAACTCATCGCCACCGCAAATCATTGCTGCATCGCCTACGACTCTTGCCACTGCCACTCAGGTAGTGGTCGGTGGACAGAGCTCTAGCATGCCAATTCTTCCAAAATTATTCTTTCGTTCCAACTTTATTTGTCCACGTCCATCTCAAATTCAGTTTCTTACCTTGCTCCTCGGGTTTGGTGTTCAGTTTCCCTCATTTGATTTATACTTTTTCAACATATTTTTTCATTTACACCTTTTCATTGATTCAATTCAATCAAATTGATAGCGTGAGATATTCTTAAGGATAAGGGATTTATCAAAATCCCTTTTTGACGAATCTTTTGAAGTTTGGAATAGATAGATAGTCATAATGAGATCTACATACTGATAGTTAGACTCCTGAAATACAACTCAAAGTTAGACTGATTTGTCCTGTGTAGTTACTTCATGACTAAACTAACGTTTTGGCTGCAGACTAACAATTTAAATCTTCAATCACTAATATCAAAGAGTATTAGTTTGAGTTATTAGTGCTCTTTGTCACTGAGTGTTCGTTGTTGAAATATGAAAAAAATTAAAGTCTAAAGGTTTTCATTTTATGTTTCATTTGATTCAGGGTATAGACGTTGAAAAATCTATAAATTATTCTTCTCGCGATAAAAAATGTTATTACTGTGGAAGGTAGTCCCAAAATTCAGTATTCTGATTTTTTTTTGCTTCTCCAATTATTATACAAATTGTATAACGTTGTGAATTCTCGCCTTTAATTATATTCAATTTTTTACGTTAAATTATTCATGGATGGAAACATTTTGACTAATTCTTTTTATTTTTCTTCGCTATGCTTTTAGCTTAAAATGTGACTATTTCTCGCTGATAAAAAAAGCGGTCTGTTATATCAGGAATAATTTTTTGTGCCAACTGCGTGAAGATAACTTCAGACAAAAATTTTTAATTTCAAAATCATTTTTTTCCCCAAATAATATTTTCAGCATTGATTAGATTGATGAGACAAAATGCACTAATTTCAGATTATTTTTCTACATTCTTTCGACAATTTAATGACTTTTTCAATTCATTTAAACAAGATGTCGAACAAGTATTCAACGATAAAAAGACTCGAGACTCATTCAGTGATAATAGCGTTAAAAAATGGTATATCGGTCACATAATCTGGTGAACAAAGTTTGCAAAAAACATGAAAAATATTGAAATGTCAATAGTAAATTCTTAAACCAATTTTCTATTAAGATGTTCTTAAATGAATATATCAGTGATCTTCTTGGCTGAAAAATTTATGGTCGTGATAATCTGCAGTTTTTTTCATCAGTGCTTATAATTTTCAGTTCTAACAACAATTTTATTTAATGTTACAGATGACAGCCCAGTATCCAACAACAGTTCTCCAAACAATAACAAATCCGGACGGGACCGTGTCCATTATCCAAGTAGATCCAAGTAATCCCATAATAACTCTACCAGACGGCACCACCGCCCAAGTACAAGGGGTTGCAACTGTAAGTTTCTACAGCTACTCAGATCCAAATGAACTGATAATCAGTGATTAGAAAAACAAAGTAGCGCTATAATGCTCCTGAATTGTTGAAAATAAGCCTAAGAACATAGCATAGAAAGTAAAATGGGGAAAAAACCAATTGTTATGTTAAGATACACACGAGTCAGGGTGAAGTGCAAACACTGGCAGAAGTTGGTGGTGCTGATGGTACGAGTGTTGCTGTTGATCTCAACAGCGTCACCGAAGCAACACTAGGCCAAGACGGACAAATCATTCTTACTGGAGAAGATGGACACGGTAAAACAGTTTTCTATAGGCTCTGCACCGTCGCCGGCCAGGAACTACTCGAACAGTGATTCCAATTTTATTAACCGGCCCAATCCCCTCATTTACCTCTCAGTACCCAGATTTGATTTTTTTTTGCATGTTGCCTGTGGCGTTACAGCCCAAATTTTGAGAAGTTGAACCATTTTTTTCCATTTTGTTTTTCTGTTATTAAAACAAACACTTCGTGCAACGAAGGAAAGGAACTTTCTTCCGTTATTTCTAAATTTGTTTTTTTTGTAGTCAATGTTTTTTTGTTTCCGTACTGTAAATATTAATAATTAATAATAGTGGAGGTAGATGAATTATTGTTCCATTTGAGAATCCATTATCAACATGAATCCACCAGTCAAATGATCGATAATACACTTGAATATTAATTAGAAGTGAGTTTGAAGGATTTTAAATTCAATGGTTCTGCTGTTAAGATTTTAGTTCTTCGAGTTTTTGGTATAAAGACAGTGTATACATGATATCAGTGGAGCTGAGGATATTTTCTCATGTAGTTTATGAAGTACAAAGTGATGACAGGGCTGTGGATCGATGAATGGATTCTTGATGATAATAAAACATGAAAGAACGATTTATTTTTAATCAATAAATGAGTTGAATGAGTAAACAACGTGACAACATTGCAAACGGTCTCCAATTTTCTCTCCCTTTTACGGATACAATCTCACTGCTACTATTTTTTTCTACGATTTACCATCATCTAAGGGCAAAATAAACATTGCTGTAAATAGATATACTTTAATTTGATGTTTTTATTTTGTAATTTGTTTTTTCTTCTCGCTTTCAATCGAAAAATTACTTGTTCTCCTCAGTCGATACCAAAGAGTGTTCAAGGCAACAAATAATCGTATTCTCCCATTGTCAGATAGTTTAAATGGACAGTAGACCAAAGACAATTTTGGCCTGCGCGTTAATAATTTTACGTTTATGATTATTTAGTTTTATCGAAATGTACTAAAAAGAACACGATAAAGAGAAAAAAATCAATTTGTAAGTACGTTTTCATTTAATTTCGCCATTATTCTGTCGCTTAATGTTAATATTTTCTTATGTAGAGGATTAAGTGTGAAGTTACTACGCATGTTTTTTCATTTATTTATTGTAAATGTTGTTTGGTTCGAAGGAGGGAGTTCGATTCCAGAAGTCAAAGACCGTTAATTAGCGGAAAATCCAATTTGTAGAATGATTCATGCGTTTGACAATTTCATAATCTCGGTTTTCAAGAGGAAGAATTAGGACTGCATTCGTCTCGTTAAATATTAAATCTTAAATAAGCCTTAAGTATTATCGGTTAGTATCCCATGCTGAAATTAATTCAAATATTAATAATGATCATGGAATGCACTAAAACATGGGAAAATATAATCCATCGAAAAATAGTCTAGTTTTGGAACAAAAAACTTGCTTTGTCGAAAAAATATTAAGTCCTGGTGATAATCAAACTAATCATTGATTAACTCATCAGCAATTATTGATATTATCAAATATTACGTAAAATTTTACTCATAATTTTTTCTTTTCGTTGCACTTGAATATCAATTTCCATGTACTTGGGCTCGATTTAATTGTATGTCATCCATTCATTTTCATTACCACTTTGTTAAAAATAATTTAATCAGAAATAATATTCTATTTCCCATATCAAAATTGAAACTCCCAGTTTGTTTAATGTTTAACTGGACTTTTACCATCACTGGTATGCATCAATAACTCGTGAAAAATCTCTAACTCAAACAATTTGTGTTGACACTTCCGAGCTGTAATTAATTTTTAATTAATTCATTTGTTCTGCATATAACAATTAAAACTTTTTTTCATTCGATCCTGGGACGATTGCTTCATCGAATCAGTCAACTGTGAATAAATTATCACAATTATTTAAAAGTGAAATGTTTCCATTACACATAAATACTATTTCAACATAAAAATTAATGCACATGAAGGAAAAAGCCAATTACATAGAAATTTAATGAAAACTGCCACTCGGAAAAATCATTATGAGCATAATTATTACTAGTATTCTGCCATTTAAATGCGTATATTAAATACACAACATTTAAATAATCGTGAAGTGTTCGAATCAAGTGAAATTATTGTATTTTGCATTGAGGAAAATAAACCGAAACCTAAATTTTCTTGGAAAGCTATTGATCCGACGATTTCACTTGAGTATTTTCATGTTTTCTCCATCTCACAAGGTCAAAACAGTAACAAAATGTTAAAGAACAAGGATCAACTTTCAAATGGTTTTCTTAAGTATTCACTCCAATCTCTTTCCCAAAATGATTCCAAAAAATTTCCGAATCAATGGAATTTTAATGATTGAGTTTTTTCTATTAAATTGGAAATGCTCTACTTTTTCTTTTTTTCTTTCGACGGATAATAAAAAGTTGATACGCTATAGGGAAATGAAAATACTTAGATTGTAGCGTCATAATGTGTTTTCTCATTGTAACATCGTAACTTAATTCAGACTCAATTGTATTCTCTTTGAAACTTGAATTTTTCATTCATATTTCTGAATTATCATCTTAATCTATTCGATGCGAAGATGTAAATTATGGGTGTATAATAGGAAAAATGTTAAAGGAATAGTAGACATTTGGAAAGGGTTTCCATCAATATTGAAAGATAATTTTACAAAAGGAGAAATCTCAAACGAATAACTCACTGTTGAAATTGAGAATACGATACGGTTACAGTCATTCACAGCCATCAATTATTCTTTCACATTTTTTTTCTTATCTAACTCATATCTCAATAATGATGAAAAGTACTTTCTAAAAACGTACAACTTCTCATTACTTTGCTCTTATTATTTGCACATAATTATAAAGAGTCTAGCATCATGAAGTACCGAATGATAATTAGTAAAATGAATAGTAAAGAGAATAAAACTGGGCGTTAACGCGTTAACGTGAAAGAATCTGACGTGCAGGTGAAGTTGATTTGAGGAAAAGAGAATGTCTAATGGATGAGTTGTAACGCATGAATCAAGTCAATATGTTTGATTTGATAAAAGGAAGAATAGTGAAATATTTGGAGTTTCGCCGGTGACGGACAAATCGGAGGGTAATTTACGTGTTTCAGGATATCCGGTGTCAGTGTCGGGTGTTATCACAGTACCAGTATCAGCGAGTATGTATCAAACAATGGTGGCTAATATACAGAGTGATGGAACAATGCAAGTTGTAACACCAATGCAAGTACAAGTACCTAAAGTTGAACCTGGTAATGGAGAGACAAGCATCGAAGCTGTTACTATTCAGGGTCATCCAATGACAATGATCAATGCTAATGGAGAGCATCAGGTGCTACAAGTGATATCATTGAAAGACGCTAATGCACTGACCAAGGCGATGCAGGGTGAGATCGTAAAAGACGAGGATAGCCAGCATCAGCAGACTGTTTCTAGCCCTGAGTAAATCTAATTTGTCATTGTTTGAGATTTTTTCAAGGAGAGAGAATGCTTTTGGGAATGTTTCTTTTATTTTTATTATCGAAAACAATTGGAATCACCATACCGGTATTTTACAAGAAGATCAAAAATAACAATAATTTTGATTGAAAATTGAATGAAAATTTAAACTCTTGAATGAAATTTTTAGTTTTTTTAGTTGGCGGAACAATTTTTCCGATACACATCTTTAGTTTTATAAATTTCATGCTGTTTTAGCATACGCGCACTCTTTCAAATTTACGTATTCAATTATGCACTATCCAATTTTTTGTATTACATGCGTTTTTTAATGCACATTTTGGGTTTTAGACGAACGAAGTTTTGTTTTTTATGATGGAATCTACGGCTGTTTTGCATGCCTGCATACTTTCAGATCTATACACTTGAGTTTTAGATGTCCGACTAGACATGTTTTTGTATTACATGGTCCCAGGGTAATTATTAAGCACAAAATTCTGCTCTGAGATGAATTATAAGTTAATTCAAATACTTTTAAGTACTCGAGTTTTTGATGTTGAGATTTGACACATTATGGCAAACAATACCATGATTTACTTTACTGCAATATGTTTAATCAATGACAGTATAATTTCCCCACCAATTTATGAATGTATTATATTTACACTGATGCATTACAATTTTTCATATCACATTTGAAAAGTAGATATTTGAAAAATAAAGAAAAAGAAAAGAATTTTTTAATAAATGAGCTAGAATTTTTTATAATCTTCCGTGGTTATCATATCTTTATAAAAACTGAAGAAATTATTAGGTTTTGCGTAATCAGGTTGGCCAATACGTAATTGCAAATAAAAAAATTGATCAGTGGTAAACGAGTAAAAGTGTCACTCATTCAATTGATAATTCAACTCTGTGCAGTACATGTGCATAAAGACTCATTACTTTCGTGTGATACAACAATGTGTAAAATGAGATGTGCAAGACTCGTGTGTATTAATTTGGAAGTGTACAAGAGTGTAAAAAGTCTCTTCTGCACAGATTCGATTCATACACATTTCTGTCTAGGCTCCTCTTAATTACTCTAACCAACTCTTGCACATTAATTATTTATTACTTCATTTATGAGTTACTGAATATTCAGTAGTTTCTGTATTACATCGTGAGAGAAGTACCAAACAACAAAACTTCAATTGCATTGAGCGTTCAGTGATCAATTGATCGTAATTGGATAATTAAATTCCGTGCAAAAGTCCATTAGAGTAGTTGAAATTGTTATTCATGGAAATATACAGTATATTTGTGTACGATCGGATACTTTGTCCAGAACATTGTAATGAGTAATACACTTTGTTCCTGTCAGAAAAGCCATGTGAATTTTAAATTGCATGTAACATAGCAATATGAAAAATTGGATGCATCAAACACTGGTGTGTGGATTGGAAAGTTTGGTGAGTGTGCAAAACAGCCGAATTAAGGGTAACCATAGTTTTTTGTTGTATCGTAAATTACTTAATAAATTATAATATAAACATATGTTTTTTCCAGATATTATTCACTCAAGATTATGGAAAATTCGAATTAACGTTTGAATATCGTCATTTAAAAATCATCGATGAATGTTAATTTTAAAGAAAAAAAAACCAGTTTATATGGATTCAAGTGTTAAATTAATTTATTCAATTCTTCAAATGAGATTAATTGATTCCTCAGGTTCATAAAAAAAAAGAACAATTTATTTCTCTCTACACAATTGGGAAAACAGATTTTTTCCTCGTATTGTCCCCTCCCAACAAAGTCCAATGGAACTCGAGGTGATATACACTGTTTGTATTGATGTGTTTGGAGCGAAATTAATCAACTTAAAATTAAAAATACAAATTAAATAATGAAAAAAGTGAATGGACTGTTGAAGAAGTGTGTATGTACCGTGTGGTAGATTTGCGAATCCCAATATAAACGATTAGACAATGTATTCATGTGTTTAAATGAGGAAACAGTGGTATCGAGTAATTAGTTGAAGGAGCTATGAATTTTTACTGTAGTTTTTTTTTGTCAGGTATTAACGCGGTGAAGAATGGGAGGAATTTTTCATAACTTTTTTGTTGTTGAGTCCTTACTATTTGAACAATTTTTTTAGTGGTGAGTAAAACGTTCCCAGGGATGAACATTAATAGGTACCATAATTTTACTCTAGTCATAATTAAATGAGTTCCAGGGAACGTTAATTAATGCCAATGATTTTTCCGAGTAACACATATATTTAAATAAATGATAGATATACCAATTCACTCTTGGGAATAATCAATTGATTGATCAATTGATCAATCAATTGATTATGTTGATTTATCCGTTCGTCTCATAGCAAAAATTTTTTTAAGGTGATAATCTCAGCATGAAAAAAAAACGCGCCGGGGAAGCAATTTTATAATTTCATTTTGTTTTCATTAACTTATTCGTTTATCTACTATGATAGGTAATTCCAATTAAAATAGTAAATAATGAAGTTATTTATAGAAAATATCTAGTGCGAAGAATTTTAGTTAAAACCTAATAGGAAAAAAGATCATATATGTAACACTGTAACTGAAAAACAACCATTTCATAATCTGTTTTATAGCACCGATTAGGAAGACTAAGCATTTCTGACGGGTACAAATAGGTTTAAGAGTATTTAAACAATTTTTGGAAATGTGAGAATTTGGAAAAAAAAAGAAATACAAACAAAACATTGGGTGCACATCATTACGCTGCTAAAGTTTAGGATGTAACTAGTTTTATAATTATCATGGGCGTTGATGAAGTAAAAAAGGAAAATTGAACAAGAAATTTGAATCGAAAGAATACAGGAAAGTCGTGCGAGCAGAAAAATTAAGGTTTTTAAATATTGGAAAAGAATAATAATTATATCATTGGTAAAATCATTAATCAAACTCTATGGAAATATGAATTTATTAGACATCAGAGAACTGTCTAAAAAAACGTGAACAATAATATAATATTCAGATATTCAAATGAAACAATCACGTAATAAGATTCACTTTTGTCCAATTGTTGATAAGAGAAAACAACTAATTCCAGTGATTTTTCGTTGATTCAAGGATAATTCATTCACCCAATTAATTTATAGTTGAACTATTCCACGAAGTTTAACAATAAATTCACGAGTCATGTGGAAAAAATAGAAATATTTCTGCTGTCAGTAATAATTTGCCGAACATTTACCATTATCTATGATGAAAAATAATCTCTGTAAAGCTAATTCCTCAAGGATGATTCACTCGCAACCACTTATTTTATTAATTTTAAATAACCATGAGGGAAGTAATGATTAACGCCAATTCTTAATTAAGTTAGTAAAATGTTATCAGAAGAATTTTCTCAGCGGACTGTTGCATTTGGATATTCACAATCCCTCGAAATCGAACGTAAAACTTGTTTATTTCACCCCAAAAATAACGAAATTAATTTTGCAACTAAAGAAGAACAATAAAAGTAAATAATAAATACTTAAAATTGTTAATTGAGTTCTTTAAGTAGCTGTCAAACTGTACATTCTCATAGTGAAATATTTCCTCCAGAATCTTGTATCGTTCATGGAAATCTATAAATCATAATATAAACATATGTGTATATGACTATTAACTGTGTAACATGTAATGTACTTTGTAAATATTCAGTGTGGCCCTTCCGCTTTTGTTATTTTCGGTGTGAAAACGTGAGAAAATCAACAGCATTCACAACCTAGAGAGAAAGTAAGAAAATCAATGACGAGAAAAAAAAATTATAGAATCTTGTTTTATTTATCAGCCCTTCCAGAAGAAAAAACCAACAATCCAAATAATGGTTTCAATACCTCAATCATCGTCTCCTCTTTATTCATTAATAAATTGTTTTCAACAAGGAAATAATGTACACATGTTTTTCATTGCTTCTTCATTATTTTCGGCATCTCATTTTTTCTCTGTGTCGAAAATTATAGCGAATATCGAATCAATTTCTAAGAAGTTAAGACTAGTGTTCTTTTTTATTGGAAAATATGAAAACTAGTGACAGTCATATGGAGGTGGGAGTGCCAATTCGGGTTTGTCGTAACCGAGTTCTTCGGGTGTGTTAATTCCAAGTTCATCGAGGGTTGGACGAATTTCCTGAACAATGTAGGGCCAGGTTATGTGGGCCTCATTTCCACCCTTGAATTTTACTGTCTCCAGAAACCTGATGGCCAGTGCAAAGTCATTAAGTCTGCGACAAGCTTTCAGTGCTGCAATGACGATTTTTGGCTCTGGGACAAGATCCATACCTGAAATTAACAGTTTAAATGATCATTTTTAATATTATATTCAACACAGAAAAAAAATTGTCTCCATGGAAAAATAATTTATTAAAGTAATCGTTTCCTACTCAATTTAAGAGAGATTTACTCTAAAATCAAGTGATCAATGAGTCACTGGATTTGAAGTACGAATTTTATTGAATCTAGAAATAATAAAAAAAAATAGAAGAATAATGAGGATCTGAGCTCATAAGAGTACATCATGTTATGAATAATCGGTTATCCAATTAGTTAGTTGATATTAATTTTATGATAGATAATTAACACTTGGGTCCGGTGACCTGGCCCAGTGAGTAAGGCCTCACAGCCCATAGGTTGCAGGTTCGATTTCTGGCCGTGTAGAAACGTGAGATCTAACCACTACATTAAGATCTTGATCAATCGTCATATAGTTATTATGACTCGAAGGGATGTAAAATAATAAATAACAAAATATATATATTAATACACGAAACAAGTGAGATTTCTATGAATCTAGTGGTCTGAATCGCTAACAACTATATTATTTTTCTTCCCTGTTTTGAGGGAAAAATCGTGAAGAAACGAACGTCTTTGGTAAACAACTTACTTGAAATTTTTGAATGTTTAGTTCATCGTTCATAGTCTACAACTGCCCCACCAGAGGCAATCAGAGCTGCCAGAGAATATTCCTGGTGGGGCTGTTCAAAACATCTACCGAAAATTTTTAAGAGCAAAGAGCACTTTTCGCGTTGAATCTTCAAAGTTTAAAACAAGAAAATAATTTTTAAAAAGTTATATTTTTTAATTTGTCTCGAATTCCTCGAATCCTCTGAAAAAATCAATTCCAAAAATGTCGATCTCATTTTTATCTAGAAATATTCAAAATTTCATCTATATTTTATATTTAGAATAATATTTTTGTAAACAAAAATTACGTACAAATGAAAAACCAATAAAAATGAAAATGTAAAAATATTGATAATTGTGGGATAGTTCGTTAAAAGTAACAACCAAGAACAATTTCTTTCACCCAAAAATGACTCTACCGAAACGATATGAAAAAACTAATTAATAAAATTGTTCTTGACATAAATATATTTTTTCCTCAGTGTAATTATGAAATAAATTATATTGAGGTGGTATGGAGAGCCTGGGGTAAGATGCACATGTTTTATTTAAATTTGTGTAGTAACAATCAAAACTGTCGAATGTTTTTCTTGGATCTCAGAATGACTATCTAAAACGCTAAGCGCCTAGTTTAAAATCATTTAATCATTATCAGATTCGATGCCAAATTGATCATTTCAAAAAATATATATTTTTTAAGTTGTCGAAAGAAGTAATCCATTTTGTACAAAAAAATATCGTGACGTACAGCCAATTATAATTTTAGGCACATTTGGTGATGTACATTATCATTAGTGATTTTTTTGCATTTTGTTTTCTGCATTTACGTTTTGTTCATTCATCGAAAATTCAATCTGATAGTCTATCAATCAACTAATCGCTAAATATTTAATTTATCTAGTTATGATTGTTTAAACATAGAAAAATGTTGAAAATTAAGAATGCCAGAATTTTTTATAGATGTCCGTGTTACTCCAGACTCCTCTATAAAAATATATATTGATTATTTAATGAGATAGAAATAATGAGAATTACCAGCGAGATCATTCATAGCTTTACGAATTTCCCAGTTATCGATGTCAGGACGATTGAAGAAGGCCTCGTATCTGGCATCGAATTCCTCGTCAGTCTCTTCATTCCCATGTGCTGATCTTGTTGGTGGTATCCCGAGAGCAGCTACTCTGGGAATCATCAGTCCCCGGGCAGCATTGACTGCACGTCCAGCCACTAATCTCAACATTTCGATTCGACTTTTATTAATTTTCCGATGAAAATTCGAGAATAATAAACTGGAGAGCACCGAGATCACCAGTAGCAGTCGGCAGTTGCGTAAACGAGAAAAGTGAAGTTTGCCACGGCAGGGCTGTCAATTTCTCTATTTTTTCCATTCCTCCAGATGGTCAGATTGTTCAGTTCGGCGGCAATTTTCGATTAAATTGTATACATCCATCCAGACCAGTGCCAAGCTCGAACATCGATTATTTACCCGCAAAGCCACGGAAACTCTTAAAAATCATGTATAAAAGTGTAATTAACTTAGAAAAGACCCGACCAAAATGGGACACAGGCTAAAATAGAATACGAGTGAAATGGGATGAATAAGGAGGTTCAATGGAAGACGAAGAAAAAAAATCTATCGTAAGAAACCATTATTCGATATTTCAGTTTTTCCAGAATTTAATTACACTTAACTGAATAAAAAATTATTAAATTACCATATAAGGAATTTCACCATCAGAAACCAAAAATGAGGGATTCCAGTTAGATGGCATATTTTTTTAGAATGTTAAAAAAATTTTAAGTAAGAAAACAACAGTATAATTAAAAGAACAAATTAAATTCGAAAAAAATACTGGGACACTTTTAGACTGTCTCCAAAATTTTTGACAAAAAAAAATCACTGACAATGGGTTAAAAACGTTTATCCGCATGAGTCCCATTTTGCCAAGGTGTCCCATTTTACTAATTAATTATTAATTAATTATTCATTTTAGTGCCGAGTAGTTTCGCATAATTATGTGGAAGTTAATCTTCAATGAATTGGAATTAAATGAGTAATTGAGAAAAACATTGGAAAATTATATTAGTTATTAGTTAATCGTTTAGAGTAACCGAAAAAAATATTTCAAATTTCATGCAACTCTAGGAGGAAATGCCAATAGCAATACTAAAAAAATATGAAAAAAATTCTGTTTTTGGATTTGAGACGCCACTCAAACCTAACGATATTGATTGAATTGATCTGGCTTTAGCTATTTATCTTCGGTTGAAACATAATGTTTAATCTTTTTGAATCTGATGAATCTGTTTGAAGTGATTTGCCAAAAGTTTGAACCCATCATACAATTTTCTTTCTAGCAAATCCTTGACTTCTTTAAATTTTCCTAGGTCGAGATAATCATGCTGAGACCGTCCACCATAACGCACTGTGTTTTTATTTCATTAACCAAAAGGAATTGTTTTTTGTCCTGAATATTAAGAATATTTTTTGAATATTCTGTCTCCTTTCACCCAAAATTCCCAATTTTTTCAATTTACTGACATATTGTTAACCAGATGGAACTGAAAGCATATACTGTTTTTGCATTTTATAATTATTTCATGACTTACTAGGTTTCCCGGGCATCCATTAATTCCCGTGTTTTTCTTAAAATTTTATGAATTTTTGGAAGGTTTAGAAATAACTTTGAAAAATTAATTTCAATCATTATATTTTGTAATTCATTAAATAATTATGAAACCTAAAAACGGTATATTTTGTCACGTCAATCCGATCAACCACAAAGAAGTGTAAATTTTGATTAAGGCCCGGATGGACTGTCCGGAAAAGATAATTTACTCCAAAATCTAGACTTCTAATTACTCCGTCGATTAATCGTTTTTTCCGATAATTGTTAGCTAGCGGCCTAGTTGTTGCAACCGCTAGAACGCTAGCTAACAGTTATTGAAAAAAAAACGATTAATTGCCAAAGTAATTAGGAATCCGAATTTCGGAGTAAATTATCTTTTCTAGATAATCCACCCGAGCCTTAAAAGAAGACAGAACACACTGAGTTTTTTCTATTTTTTAATTTCTATTTTTCATTGAAGTGTCAAAAAAAAGGAAAAGTATAAGTTTATATAAACCTCGAAGATATTACGAACATCTTGAGTAATTTATTTTATTTTTTACGAATGAGATGTAAAGTAGATTAACTCAGATAATGCTCTCCAGCTTCAGGTTCAAGAATTGCAGGTATATAATAGAAGATTAAGGCTCGGGTGGATTATCTAGAAAAGATAATTTACTCCGAAATTCGGATTCCTAATTACTTTGGCAATTAATGGTTTTTTTCAATAATTTTTAGCTAGCGTTCTAGCGGTTGTCAACAACTAGGCCGCTAGCTAACAATTATCGGAAAAAACGATTAATTGACGGAGTAATTAGAAGTCCCAATTTTGGAGTAAATTATCTTTTCCAGACAGTCCATCCGGGCCTTAAAGCTTCATATTTGACGTATCATTTATTTAAATTAATCTAAATGATCTACTTGTTTAATTGCTGCGGAAATTACGAGATGAATAATTTGAAGGAAATCAATTTTTATCATCAACATTGTACATTATTTATTTTCAGTATCAAAATATTCATTACAAAGTAATCGTTTCCTCCTAACTCAATTAAAACCTTACACAATATATTACAGCTTTTTACAGTAGAGGTAAATTTTTCACTTTACTAAAGAAAATACTTAAAAAAAATGTATACCTTAATTCGTTAAATTAAGTAGTTTTAATTCTTTCACAATAGAAAAATACGACATAAATAAATTGAGTATTTAAAAAATTTATTTTACAAGCCACCAAGTGGAAAAGATTGTACAAAACCTTTACTAGTTCAACTTTTTAAATACGGAATAACAGTTTTGAATGGGAGAAATTAGTGACTTAAATAAATAATAAATAAAATTTGAGATTCTCGCAATCGCACAATCAATCAATCACACACATGCTCTGCTATTCAAATTAATGACATTTTCATATTGAAAATTGATGAATTGAAAAGCGAAAATGAATGATTAATCTCTCTTCTGTCGATTAAAAAAATGTATAAAGGAATTCAATAAAAATTTTTAATAAGAAATCTTCACAAGAACATGAAGAAAAAAGTATTAAAATACTCGAGTACAAAATCCTTTAAAAAAGCGTAAAATATAATTTTATTTTCACGTGACTAATGAACCATTTCAAAGGCTTCTCAACTCACAAAAAAGCCAATAATTCACTTGGTAACGAATTCAACTAGTTTTTTGTTCATGAACTCAACGTTTTCATTTTTTGTTCATTTTTCCGCTCTTCTTAACAATTGAAGAAATTCTATGTACAATTTCTTGTCTTACACAACCCATCAAAGACAAAATACGAAGAATACATTAATTTCCGTATACATTTGTTGCTCATTATTTAATCAGCTGTCTCTGATCATTTCAAGTCATTAAAAAAATTTCATTTACATATTTTCATTTGGCACATTTTACGATTATTACCGAATGTGCCTAATAAAATGCATAAAATGCAGTTTGTTATCTAAGTACAAAAGACGAACATTTTACAGTTCGATCTGCAAAAGAACAGGGGAAACAATCCCTTGAGAATACTTGAAATTATGATTTTCAAGAAATTATATAATTCTCCTTTTCATTGAGAAATTTGTTCTTTCATTTCTTAACAATTCACTCGAAATCCTAGAATCCATTTCTTTTGGATTATAATACATTTTTTTTGTTATCAGTAAGTAAATTGAACGATCAAAAGAACCGCGTCAACTTGCAATATTTTTGGGGGTAAAAAAAAGACAGGGATAAAGAGATTAAATTTGAAAAATTAACCTAGTCAGCCTTCTGTGTTTTCCCGCTTCGCGTGGTACTTGAGCAGTAGCTGCCGGTCGTCCCGGTATACATTATTGTCAGTGTTTGGCATTACCATTGTCAATATCCGGCTCAGAACTCGAACTCGATGACTCTGACGTATTAATGTTTGCACTACACCGTGATGAGCGTCTGCTACTTGAGGACGAATGCCGGCATTTTTCACCACGATCCACTCCACCTGAAACAATTTATGCAATTTCCAAATTAATAAATTGGCTATTTCAATTGGCTATTTCTATTTTTAAATGATTATTTCTTGGAAACAATACTCATCACGATTACTCCAGTGAAATTTCAATTCGAAAGATTTCATTTAAAAATTTTGATATTTAATTTAAACAATCCTGTCTTCACACACTCATTTCGATACAAATTCTGGGCTAATTATGTGTTCAGCTTAATGAGATGAGCGTTGGATCATTTATTTGACAGATTGGTCAGAAATAGTGGTAATGGATTAATTAATAGAAAGTCAGAAAGTTGGATTGATTTTTCGTTGCAGAAATATCAATGGAGGATTCCAATAACTCAAACATACAATGTAAAAACTTACTTGTGGGTGCGGTGTGAACTTGCACAGTGACAAGATCACTGTCCAAAGTGACCCTGTCACTATCGAAATGAACACTCCATGTGTGATGTGGACGATGATGTAATGTGGACGGCACTGGTGATGTTCGACTAGAACCGCTCGTATCAGAACCGCCGCAGTTCTGTTAGTATAAAAATGAAATAACACTTGTTAGACATGCGCTGGACACAAATAAATGCAGTTTACAAAAATAAAGAGAATTATTGAAGCACAATAATTAATTGAGAGAAGAAATATTTATTCAACTGACCTGATTTCCACGTGTTGTGGTAGCTTCAACCTTCACCTCTGGCTGAGCACTGCATGAGTCTTGCGTACTGTTGAGTGAATTTGGCTCTTCAGAAATAGTTGTTAATGAGGGTTTCGACTGAATTCTTGAACTATCAATTTTATGGGGCCTCCTGGGAGGTGCAGGAGGCTTTGATCTTCGAATGACAGGTGAGGCTGGTGGTGTGGGCGTTGATATTCGATCTGGATGTTCATGAGGAATAACTTCTGGTGATGGTCCCACCAGTGACAGCAAGATTGGGAAGAAGAACAGTCCATTGGCGGTTCCAATTCCGATCAGGCAGATGAGAATCAGGAAAAAGTATCTGACTATGAATTCAAAGTCGGAAAATGCCAGCATCCCCACTGTGAGGGCTGTTGTCAGGGCACTGTGAATTATTGGGGCAAACATGTGCTCTATTGCAAGACGTACTCGACGATCTCTGCTACCAACACTCGTTATGAAACTCTGGAATGAGAAATTTAAACATTTACAAATTATCATAATATTCTAGTAAAACATCAAGATTACAAATCATAACAATGCACTATAATTTGGCAGTTGTTCTGGATATTAATTATTTGTTGCTCATTGATTAACTATTTGTTTCTAAGTGAATGTTGTCCATTTACTTATATTTATCTAAATACATAGTACTTATTGAAATCAATTTTCACAGTCTTTTAAATTAATTGAAATGTTCTTTTTTATGGACAAACAAACGTTTGGATAAATATTATATTTCAGTTATTGCCATTTAAAATCCAATATTCATTTTTAATTGTACGGATATTATTAATGATTGAAAAATGTAAATATTAAGTTCACAGAATGCATTATAAAAAATTGAAATAAAGCTAAGCCTTCAAAGATGTACGTAGAATGTAGACACTATTAAAAAAATGCTTATTAAAGCCATTCAGACATTAAAAATGATTAAATTTAATTAATGAATTAAAATGACTACTCACCAAACAAATGTGAACACTGAAGTGAACAGCGATTCCCACACTGACAACCAGCAAAACAGCAGGGACAGCATTGAGTTTCATCCCCACCAATCTCATAATTCCCGCCAACTGGAGTACAACTCCGGCCAAGGAAGTGCCAACTAGCAGAGCAGCCCACAGATTTAACAGTACAATTGCCATGACAATGACACTGACACCCAGTGCCGAAACAAGAGCAATTCCCAAACATCTTCTTAAATCCATGTATTCCCAAAAGACGAAAGGAATTCCTGACGGAAAATTGGGAAGTCCCTTCTCCTCGAATCTCTTGCAAATGCTCCTAATGCTGCTGATGAGTTCAGTGATAGCAGTAGTATCCGTCAATTTGTGCAAAAAAAATGGCATCTGTGCATAAGTTAGAGGTAAACTCTTGGGGATCTTGAGATCCTCATCGTCTCTAGCAAAGATCCAAGTCCTTGGCTGAGGTCGGAGATTAGCTTGGCTGCTTTCATAAGCGAGAATGTCATTGTGAACCCAAGCACTCAAGTAATTGTAAAACGCCCTTGGATTGATAATCCCATCAGAATCCACGAACCTCACTTGTGTCAGAAGAGTCTTATCCACAGGATTATCAGCGTGTCCAGTCTGCACCAGTAATTTGTACGCCAAAATGGCTTCGTCACTCGCATTTTTGTACCATCTCTCTTGCGTAATGCAACCGTCTTTATAATCCTTGTCAAAAGCATTTTGGAGATTTCTCAACCAATCCCTGAAAAACTCCAGCCAAAACTTGGGCAAACCACCATCGTCATTCTTTATAACCCTATTGACTCTCATAAAGGCTTCATGATACTCATGCAACAACTTCTGATTGTTCGGATAATCAAAGTCTCTTCCAGTGATGGCCCACATATTGTAGAATCCAAAGTACTTTGTCTGCGCTGTCAAAAAAGCGTGTTCGTCAGAGCCCTGGGGAACCAAATCAGTCAGATCCAATCCGTCTTCAACCTTGATAGCCTGCCAAACACTACCAGATAAGACAACAAAGAGTATCAAAATTCCAAAGACCTTGGTGGTCGGTTTGGTGACGAATGGGGCATAATGTTTAGCAGCGAACTTTGTTAATGAGAACGTCAAACATTCATCTTGCGTGCAACCAGTTAAAGTGTCCTCTTCAGAATTGTATTTATCATTATCCTGATCGGCGGTGGTGCCCCCCACCCATGACTCATATCTGTCACTTCGTTTCGAGAGAATTTCCGAGTGAATCTCTTTTCTGTTCGATCGCCCCGAAGTAGAACGATGATTCACCGTTCGATTTTTATCCTCCGAGGTGGCGGGTAAGTAACAGCAGAAGATATCGAATCTCCCGTACCTTCGTCTTCTCAGATCAATGCTGATCATAGCGGGAAACACGACGAGCATAGCAGCCAAATTGAAAAGAATGAGAACTCCAACTTGCAGAGAGAAGACTCTTAGCGCTGGGATTGGAATTATTGAAGCAGCAAAGAACGCCGTGACATTACTCACTCCTTTCAAGAAGACAGACATTCCAGTTCTTTTTAGAACGACTCCAGTCTGCTCACTACTCGGTACTTCATTAACTGCTAATTCAGCGTACGTGTGAGTCAGAAGGAATACATCGTGAACACCAAGGCCAAGAGCAAGGAAGGGAACGATTTGGGTTGTGATTGCATTGAAGGGAATTCCGAGTATTGCACAGAAGCCCAGGCCTGCAGCTACTGTTGCACAAACAAGAACAACACCAGCAACAGCAATTCCTGCTTGGGATCTCACAGGATCCTTCCACCTCAGAAGAACAACGGATGAGTAGATGAGGACTAGGCCACAGCCAATAGCAATGTTCATTATGGAGAATTGACTGTACTTTCCTAGAATGTCATTCATCGTTATTGTACTGAAGGTGTAAGAGTTGTAGAGGGCTGAAGCACCAGATGAATTCAAGTGGCGTCTCACTTGATCGCTAAATGCTCGCTGCCACGTTTCCATTATCAAGGAGGCTTTGTCCATCGTCCATTCTATCCGCTCGGTCTTCATGTGATTTCGGTAGTAATTGTAGAATTCGTGCTCACCCATCAGCTGAACGACTGATTGAAGGGCCGCAGCGCGTTTTAGGTAACCGTTTTCGTTGTGTTCACCACCACCAACCACCAGTTCCTCTGGCCAGTGCATGTAATTCGCTGCGTAACCGTAACAACCGCCAGTCAATTCGTAACCGATATCTGGAAGCTGCAACCAAAATTTTATCGATTAATAATAATGACATTACATCAACTATTATCTAAACTTTGAGCTTTACCCACTTTATCATTTTATTTATTCATTTGCATTCATCTAAATGAATTCAATATTGTTACTGTTGAACATTGAAAATGTGTGTGTGCATGTGTATTGGTTTTGAGTATTATTTAATTGGCATTAAATGGTAAATTTGAAAAATTTCTTTTCGGCGTTTTTTGTCCCAGAGCGGATGTTTATGAAGTCGTACTTGATATCTTTTATATACGCCCCTTTAACTCTGGAACAAGGATTTTTAAGAACTAGCAGCTGTTGAAAGACCTCATCCGCTCTCCCAATAAGAGGAGAGGCGAAAGGCAGGTGTGCGGGACTAATGTCCAAAGAATTCGGGCTCTTGAGTTCATTCTTTTTAGCCCTCTATCCTTGTGCACCTCCCTGAGGGCGTGTGCGCAATATTCAGGACAATTCGTTGTAAAATTTTGTACCCTCCAGTGAATATTGTCGAAGCGCCCAGGAAAGGAAATGATCGATCCACTCGATAAATTTACGAGGTTTTGCTGCATCCTCCGGGGGTAAAAAACGAAATAAGTGCAAAAAATATGAATGAAGAAAGAGAAAAAAATAAAGTGGGAGAAGTATGCAGAGTGCTCTCGCCCATTAAGTGCAATTACCTTAACTACGGACAGGAGTACCTGGGATGGTGGGTAAAAAGATAGGGAGAGGAGCGAACTCGGGTGAACTGCTGATAGAAATTTAAAAGATTGCAGTTAAATGAGATACATAAATTGATTGAAGAATCAATTACGAGAAATTAATTGGTACAACTTTATCCATTTATTGGTTCATCGTGCAGAAGCTATTTCTCACTCGAGAGTTTTTTCATGTTCCAACTAAATTGAAAATTCCTAGTTATCATTGGATTTTTTTTTATTTTTATTATTATTTCTTGCCAATATAATCGTGAATAATTGTGAATAGAAATAAATGATAAATAACACATGTGCAATTAATTTATTGCGATGGAAAAATGAATACTAAGAAGGGATACGTTTGGCATTAGACGTGAGTATTTACTGATGCATCATGAACATCTTGACTAGCGGTAATCACGTGAAAGAGAAAGAGCGCAAATGTTGCTTGTACACACATTGGTGGTAAAAAAAAATCAAAAGGAATGAAGAAAAGGACAGGGTGAATGGAGTGGAGAAATGGAGAGGGAGACGAGACACTGAGGCACCGTGTATGTTAATAATGCCAGTGAAATGATGGGTGGGTAATAGCCGGCGGTGTTTAAGCTGTCTCTCTTCGTCTTTTACTTGAGAAAATCTACGGCCGACCACCGGCGTAGCACAATAATGACACACATCTTGCGATTTTATTATTTTAATGCTACCCGTCCATCCACGCGACTTGCATATCCATCGTCTCATTTTTATTTTTCCTTTTTTTTTCATTTTCTTTTCATTTTTCTCATTTACCATTTCCATATCGGAACTATACATCGTATGACTCCATTTTTTAATCTCATGAATGAAGGAATACTTTTGAGTCAATAGGACTACAGAAAAAATTAAACCATTTCCAAGGATTGTGGAAAATCTCCAGCCAAGGTGGTTTTAGTCGTTAAAATCAAGGGGCCGTTTTCCTTGAAAAATTTCATGTGGAATAATTGGAATAGCTCATTTGTGGTAATTTTTGGACTAAAGTATATACAAATTTACGGTGCAAATTATGAATTTTCAGTAGATTGTAATAAATTAAAACATTGGAACGAAGTGAAAAATCTCTGACATTGACAATGAAAAAGTTTATGGTATTCTTGATAGAAATCTTATTTGATTTGTCTATGAAAATGAGTATAAATTAGTAGAATCTAAATAAATGTTTGATTAATCGAAAATGCAGTGTAATTAATTCCTGAACAATCATATTGTCAATGAAATTGAGATTTGTTTGTAATAATATAAGAACCTCAAGTGAATTCCCAATTACAAATTCTATTACTTGATATTCCGGAAGGATATGTTCCTTTATTAGAATGAATTAAGCAGTAGTATTTAATTTAGTGACGAGCAATCATCAGTGAAAATATCAGATATTTGAGTGATTCAATTGAACTTGTGAAAGGTCATTGACAAGACTCTTGGAGATTGGAAAGAATGAGGGATTTGAATTTTTACCTGACGTGAATTCTTGTTTGGTGCTGTGTTCGGGCACTCAGGATCATACGGATCGAGGCAAGGTTTACTCTGGTAGCCATTTGTTATTCCTGCTCGTTTCATGTAATCCTCGAGGGTTTTGAATGGAAAAGTTATGTGAAAATCCTTCATCTGCTCCACAAGAGAAGACGGGTTGAGACTAGTCCATTGGAGTGGCTTCGAATTGTATCTGTTGTCAATTATAAAATAAAACCGATTAATGACAATGTCTGCGTTGTTCAATGTATCATTGACTGAGTGAATCATTTCAATGAATTCATTAAACCCTTCATTAGAATTCCGAGCAAATAGCGAGAACATGGTTAGAATAACTCGGTTAGAAGCTTAGGGTTTCGGTTATTAAGTCAAAATGTATTAAAAAGATATTGTTACACTATTTATTTATTTATTTATTTTCGAGTTGAATCACTGAATCGAGTCAATATTCAATTCTGCTCTTCAAGCATTTCAGGATTGAATGAATTCCTAAAAAAACTAATTCAATTCAACGAAAGATCGATCAATTAATCAATTCATCGATTAATTGTCAATATTTTCGCTTCTATTGATAATAAAGTTCTCTAAATTTGATATATAATTTTGCAGATTTGTCACATAAAATGAAAGAAAAAAAAGGGAGGAAATGGTAAAACCATTGAGAAAACCATGAATTTAAGAGAAGCGGACGATTCATGATAATTAGTCAATTTAATTGTCCAGCATTCTTCTCTAAATTAATTAATGCAATTAAACTATTGATGAAGGTATTAAATTGAAAATAATGCATATAACTTACGGAATATGAACGGTATTGTCCATAAGTTTGCTCCCCTCCCAAAAGCAGTCCAGAGGTGTAATAATGGCACAGGGTATAATTTTCTCAAAAATCTGAAAGACAAGAAATAAATTTCAACTCCATAAAATTAAATTCCCATCAAAGTAATAGCCTAAAATCATCGAGATTTTTTCATTCATTCGATCCAATTAATTCTCACAATATCGAACACAATATCTGAAACTTTCTCGATGATTACAAAAAATGTTATCCCAGTATTCGTACTAGATTCAGACAGATTGAGTCAGCATTTTGTTTTTTTCCTCTTTTCTCCCTTAATGCGGAGTTAACATCAACTTTTTTTTACTAGATGAAGCGTCTCGCGAGTGAGTCGTTAGGAACTCTTGTACAGAGTAATGTAAAACATGCGTAATGTACAACTTTATCGTGATAAACATTAATACGTGAACGATCAAGGGAGAGAAAATGTACACGCAAGTGTAATCATGTTTTTATATACCTGGTTAATGCTGTTCTCAAGATCAAGATTCGGTATACTCGGTCCATGACACAATTCTTTGAGACCCCACGTGCTGTAAAAAAAAAAGTTATGATATTGAGTCATTAATGAAAAATGAAAGAACTAATTGATTTAATATTTCCGCTGATATTCATGTGTATGACAGTATGATTTTCGTGTCTCCTTGATACTTTTATAATTTTGTACATGAAATGATTTACGAAGCATTCACCGAGTTATCACAGCGATAGGAGTCGTACTGACGGTTTTATCACACGCTGATAAATATTAATGCCGAAATTTTGTACCCATTTTCAAAAAATTCGTATAATTCTTTGAATTCCAAGAAATTTCGCAGAGGAAAATTCACAATTCAATTTTGAGACAAATAGAAAACTGGAGATTAATTATTTTAATTGATTAAATTCAAGGACTCGCGTATTGCTAAACAAAAATGTGAAATTTCATTGAATTTTTACGAGCGTTTAGACTTGAATCGAAGATAATCACACAATTCATTCTAATTTTAATTTCGTTGTAGCCAGTCAGTCCATACTTTCAGCCTTCAAAACTTTTCCCCGTAATATATTAATAGCGTGTTGTTCCATACTATTTTAAAGATCACGGAATGAGCTTTCAGGTGGGTTCAATTACGTGCATTTATCTTTACGCAAAACGTTGTTACGATTATTTAAAAATCAGCAAACCTGAAGATGTGTCACGCTTGTCTACCTTGGAACTTTCAATTTTTGTCAAATTTTCGATAATTGCGTGAATAAAAAAAATGAGTTTGATGGGTATGATCTTAAACCTCATTATTTAAGAGTTCAATTAAAATTATTTTTATTCAATTGCATATATTTGAGTTTTAGTTATGAACAATTATGTCAAAGTATGAAGTCATATGAAATGTCTGCCCTGTGATTTTACAATATATTTCATGTTTTTATAAAAATAAACGCAAGATTTTCAATGAATACTCTATATCATTGGAAAGCTTATCAGCTAAGCATATCTCTTAGCTTTCAAATAACATCACATTCATTAGAACATGCCTATTCTTTTTTTAATTATGAAGATTGAAGGAAACAACAACGCGTCATACTTATATTCCCTCCTAACGAATATGTCACCGTTTTTATAATTTCAAAACAAAATTTATGAAATATTCTATCCCATTTTACAGTTACAGAACCAAACTTCAAAATTTTACAACTCTCCTCATTGCGTGACAATTACATTCAATGCAATAACGCCTTAAATGAGATTTTGTTTCCCCCCACTCGTTTGAAACGAATCTAAAAAATCAGTATTTTACCGATTAAAAATAAATTGATAAGCTAGAAATTGAGAGACAGTGAGAATGACAATGAATACATGTGAAGAGGAGGATTTTTGAGAAAAGTTGATCTGACAATAAGAATTTTATTGGTGGTCTAATCATAAATTGAGAAAAATGGGTTCTCACTGGAAGGGCCTAATGATTATAAAATAAAAATGTTACTTACGTTTCGTACATATCGATTGTAACTTGCGTCGCACTCTTCAACATTGCTAAGTGGTCCTTCAGAGCAGCTGAATGCAACATTTTTCCCCCCGAGTGCCTCGGCGTTTGTATTACCAGCTGATTGAGCTGATGAATGGAGATTGCTGATTCACCGAGGGCCTCCGATACGTATGTCAGTTCTTGCTGCAGTCTGCCTCCATCTGTAAACAAATGACATTCATATTTTTATGCCTTATTTCGTTAGCGTAATCAAATAACATCAATCAATTACTCTACAAGTCCTGTCCCAGTCATTGGAATTAAATCTTCTCCTTACAATTATTCTATTTAAAAACACGCAGAAAAATTTACTTAAATAACTTCTTAAAACAGTTGTTAATCTTCATTAATGATTTGCAATTAAACAAAAAAATTGTTTACAATATTTTTTGTTTAATAAATTAGTGATTTGCCTCCGAAGGGATAATTATTTTTATTAAATTGGAATATTCATTTTAACATTTTGTTACTGTTGTATTTGTTTGGAGCTCAGTCGATTGTTCATGAGTTTAATTACTTTTTGAATGTCATTATATATTACAATGGTAATTCAGTCAAATTAAAATAAAATAACTAATCGAAATAATTAATAATAATTAATTGTGATATTCTTCGAGTACATCACGAAACATTTTCTAAAATAATATTCTGTAAGTGGAGAACCCACGGAGCGATCTCTACATAAAATTAATTACGGGATCAATTTCTGAAAATGTTAATATCCCACAAAGTTTATGATAAATTTCATTTTCATGGATATCGAAAATTTATGGAATGCCATTTCGTCTCCGTGTAAAATGAATCTTAAAAAAAATAATCCTATGTAGATAGAGCATTTAAAAATGGCATATGTGGGATTTAGAGATTATATTGAACTAACCGGAGACAGAAAATTGAAGAATTATAGAAGTAGCTTTCTACTATTGAATTGATAATGAAAAATGGAAAATTTCGTTTTGGAATTTGAAGATGGATGGATTGGTTGAATTCGGAAGGAAAAGTAAAAGTCAAAATGAGGATAGAGATAGTAATGGAGTGAATTGGCAAGGAGCCCGTTGTATCCCACCTAGTGGGATTTCACCGTCAAAAATGCCGACGGCGTATTTGCTCGTTCCGCCACGGCGCGGCCCCGAGGACCACCCGTCCAGCACCGCGTCACCAGCTGTGCTCAACCCATTATAAAATATCCTCATAATCCCCCAACATAAGCTCATTCAATCCAAACGAGTTGAGTATCACTGCCTGAGGCTGCGGGTGGTCCAGAGGACCGATATCTCCAGATATGTATCCTGGAGGGCGAGTGCCCGGCATTTACACGGAAAAATCTTCCATTTTTCAAGTACTTAAATGTTATACGGGAAATCCTACTGAAAATTCTGTACAGAATCTTGCAATTCTTCACTGGATTACAGATAATCAAAGATTTCCATCATTTCCTGGATGAATTCCAAGGTGAAGCTGTAGGATTATTATTATACAGGAAATCGATAAAATATTCTGTATAAAATATCATAATGATCATAATCTATAATAATATTTCAAATAATTCTATATGATTATCGATAGGAGAATTCGACAACAAAAAAATTAATAATAAATAAATAATTTTATATCAGAACAAATTTTATAGACTGCCTACATTATTGTTTACATTTCCCATACGATTTTCGATTCAACATTTTTTTCTGGGTTATTCTCAGTTTAATTATTTATTTAAAAATTGGAATAGTCTAAGAATTCGATTTCTTTGATGGAATTGCTAACATTGAAATCGATTTGAGTGTAATGTGGACGGGTCATGTTACTGGTAAACATTGTTTAATCAATATTGGATTGATTCACTTTAACAAATCATCTTTTGTTGAATTAACAATGATATCAATATTTTGAGCCATGATTAGGTAGATTTAGATAATTTTTTTTCAAGTATCGTCGGTCGCCCAATACATGTACATAAGAGCAAAATCGCACATTGCAAATTTGACAAACATTATATTTTCATTTACTAGCAAAAAACATTTGATCCCCATTTAACCATGATCTGTCGATGTTACTGTATTCAAAATAACTACCTCCATGGAGACTCTCTGATTATGAATTTGAAAAAAACAAGAGACAAGTTTTTTATAGCTCCAGCTGAGGGTTGACCTCTAAGTTTGATCTGTTGAACCTTTTGATAATGTGAGATTCGCGAAATCGCAGTCGTCACGCCACGACTAAAAAGGCGAGAAATGAAAGAATAAAAAGTGTAAAACCTTGATCTCAAGTGTTTGACCCTTAAAGCCCGTAGGGCCAGAAGTTATGATGATTCCGAGTAATCAATGGAAGTCATGGGGGAAATGGGATAAGCTTGACAGGAAGATTTGCCAAGTGCCTAGACCCTTGAGATGATTGAGATGAAATTTGAGAGTGCGAGAGTAGCGAGATTGCAACCGTTACACCACAAATGAAAAATAAAAAGAATAAAAATGATAAAACGGTAATGTTAAAGCGTCCACGTGCTTCCTAGTGGCCTTGATGGGCTGCAAAATAACGCGGGATGAATCAGCGAGTAGAATGCGGGCGCCTTGGCGTCCCTGTCTCGTAATAAAGACAGTACAGGGCAAGAAAGATGAATGCCAGGAGGCACTTGGAATAAAGGAGTTAACGTGGTACGACCCAGCAAAGGGTACCAGGAGTATTACCGTTTTATTAGGTAGAGGGAGAAAATTTCTTGATTTATCGACGGGGCGTCTCTGTAATTATTTATCTCGTCTCTCTCCGCTATTTGTATCGGGATGAGTTGGTACCCTTCCGGCTACCGTAATTGCAGGCACCAGGACTTTGTCCGTTTATCTATCTCATATTATTAGGGGTACTATAGGTAATTTCATGGCCGTCACATGACGGTCATGGAACCGTCATTGACACGTCATATTATTCTCATGCCAAGTGGTTAACTAGGGGAAGAGCATTCTTCTCCTCTCATTTGGCTACTTTTTTGAAAATATATTGGCACTCAGAGAAAATGGTCATTTTGTCATTGGGATCTTTTTTCTAGCTCTCATTATTCTCGGTAAAAAATGTGTAAGCATGCATGACCCTATGTTCCTTCACTTTTGGGGGTTCTACGATTTTTTTGGGAAAATTTTCATTTGCCGAAGTTTTTGATGGTAGAATTTTTAATTGCAGTTTTGTTAGCAACAGATCCAGAAATTTCTCAAAATTTAAACGATATTCAATTATGTGAGTTTTCATTCTATTTTGATTTAAATCGTTATTTAATTTGTTATAAATTTTCGACAGTCAGTAAAATTTCATTTTTCGAGGTAAAAGATTATTAATTTTTTAATGAAAATTTGAATTTTCAAAGTCATCAAAATCATGGAAATGGAATATTAAATAAAATTGAATTTTTAATAGATTGAAAATTACAGAGAAATCCATTTATATTCGACGGGAAATGAAAATTTTATTTTCATTAAGTCTTTGTAATTTTACTGATTGTCCAGTTTAATAAAAATGTTAATTTCATGGTTTCCCGCCTTGAAAATTGGCTGTCAACAGGCCATGAAATTCAATTTTTATCATTCTGAATTTGACAAGAGACTGACAATTCGTTGACATATTGACAGTATACTCCTGTCTGGGTAGACTAATAATGAATATTATTCATATTTTTTTTCTCCTCCGAGACTTTTTGTTTCTTCACAAAGGAATGAAGGATACGCTCATGTTACATTTTCCGGTACATCCTCCTGTGAAGTGTTCACTTCCGTATTATTCAAGCCATGTAACATCCTTGGTCCATCCACACCAACTGTTGGCAGTTTGAAAAATGGAGAAAAACGTTAAGGAAACACGTGTGGACAGATTAACAGCGTGTGAAAACAAGTACCACACGTGTGCTCATTGAGTTCACCGCCCATTTCCCAAAGAAAAATCATCTTACGGAGAATATTGAAATTATTCCCATAACTTTTCGTAACTGTTTTGAGAAAAAATATAGAAGTTGGGGAAAGCTTTCATGAATTGATCAAGCGAAACGTCGATACTTTTGTTCCACCGAGTGATTTCTTTGGGTGAGGGAATGGGCGTTGCAGGTAAACCCATGTAGTAGATTTCTGAGGTAAAATATATTTCTGTAAGGGTCGGCAAACTTCACAAAAAGTAGGGAAGAATAGAAAATTGATCGTGGTCAAGTCACCAGGATGAGCTCAACATGTTAGAAAATTCGACTCAAGTTCTTGCCAATTTTAGTTTGGATTGTTACGAAATTCATATTCCATTTTCAATTGACATTCATCAGCAGAACCGACTTGATTCAACATTAATTGTCTCATTATGCCTTCATCGCGCCGACAACGAAGAAATTTTTTAAATTTTTTTTAAAGATTTGCCTACCTTGAAGTAAAAGATTTTGATAAAACTTTGGGTTTGATGGCATTTTGAAGTTTCACTTCAATGATTACAGAATTATTTTCCTTGATTTAAAATTATAAAAAGAGAATAAGTATTGATCAATTCAACGTTAGATCATTAAAAAAATGATGGATAGTCCAGTCGAAACTGTAGACCTTAACTATATTGTGAGTCAATTGACATTCCACATTCCACATTCCAAGAAAATAAATTTTTCTCCAACAGTGAAATTTTAGATTTCATAGTATTTTGAGATTCTACCAACAGGACTCCAAACTGTTTTCCTGAATTCGACATTACGGAAATAGAACTGATCAACCCAACGTAAAACCATGCGAAAAATGATGAAGAGTCAAATCTGAACTGTAGGCCTCAGCTGTACTTCCAGCCAATTGACCCCGACATTCCAAGAAAATTCATTTTTCTCAAAAGATAAAATTTTGGGGTTGATGGCCATGAAAAGAGAGTAAGCAGCGTTAGTGGATGGTGTGTGGAAGAAGGACAGAGGCTTCATAAAAGCAGGACGGTGAAAAAAAAAAGCCAAGAGAGAAAAGGTTCTTTAGTGTTGGTTGTGTACTGGCACGCAGGGGCAGGGGCCCCACTGCTCGACTCTCTGGCGCACCATGAAGTTCCAAGCCAACAGTTGGGGCCACCCACCGCGACCATTCACCGGAACCGAGCCCCCATCCAATCCCCGGTGGTGCTCAAATCCTCTCACTCTTCAAAACTCTTCCAAAACCCCTCCATCCCATAAAAATTCCTATTTTTTATCACCTCATTCCACCCCAAAAATCCAATATCCCAATCTCCATCGAACTTGACCTTTTCTCCTAAAACACTTGAATCAGTTTAAAAAATGTCAAATCCAATGTACTCCAGCAAAATTTTGCCACATGATTGAATGAATAATGCAATTCAATATTTTTGAGTACGATTGATGATTACTGATACTGTGGAAATGATCGTATCAGCGATTCTGTAGTTGTTTGCAAGAAACATGTGAAGAAACGGTAGTAATCGCTTTTTTTTAGTAATCCAATAACAATTTCTGGCGATATGAGACAATTTTGATTGTTTTTAACTCAATCGATGAATTAATCCATTAAATGAGAACAATCCTGTCCTCTGTTTTTGAGTTTCATAGAAAAACCTTTCGAAACTTATTTAATTAGAAATTCCAAATTCGAAATATGAAGATTGCCGCATTTGTCCTTTCAAGGGGGAGGTATGTATGCATTTATGTATGTGATCGATTGCGGTTCGATGATGAGCCATCCGATTCTTAAGAAATTGACAAGCCATGAGGCAGCACTAAAAAACCTCGTAGACTCGCCTCTGGTTTCTATCCATGACTGGAATGGTGAGTTCATCAAACAGTTACACTTTTTTAAAAAATGTAGGAAAAAAAAACAATTTTGATTCCTCCAGGGCAGCTTTAAATCTAGTCCCACAGATCTTATGCAACGCTAAATTTTTGTGAAATGGAGATTCAAGTTCAATCTGAAGAATTTGAAATGACGCAAGTTTTCCAATGTAATAAATATTTCCAAGAAACTCTTAATTGAATGACAAATGGTTGTTTACGTAAAATTGAAGAGATTTCAGCATGAGAATCAAAATCGAAACCCTCCATGCATCACTCACACATTCCACTGGTTACAGTTACAGATAATTAAGACCATTCACCTGAAGAAACCTTTCAGAAACATTTCTCCATTCCCTAATTAAAATACCATCGAAAACTCAAAAATCTCAATTGTTTACTTCTCCCACCCCATCGTCATTTCCCCTGCTAACACAACTCATATCCTCTTCCTTATAACCCAGAAGAAAAAATGATCTCCATCACAAATTGATTGCATTGATGACAGAAATATAAAAGCCATAATGCAACGATGCAAAAGAAAAAATGGACAATAGTAAATGAGTTTTTGTTTAAACTTTAAAGGTATAAAAAAGGAGAAAAATATGGTAAACATAATGGTAATAATAAAGAAAAGATGAGATCCTCTGTTTATGGGACCGTCGGTGGGCTCTTGGTGCAATAACAACAGATTCCCGGTGGGTCTTTGGACGACGCTTGCTTTCTGACTCTTATCCCCGCTGGGGTTCTTACAAAAGCCAACCCTGTAGTTTTCCTTCTTCCACGCTCAGACCCAAGCCATTTATCCCTCTTACTTTCTTATTCACTGTCCCTCATTTTTTCTCGGTTATTCTGTTTCTTTATTTTATTGTAGTACCGTCTCACTCGGTTTGACCGGTGCCATGAGGGCCTAATGAAGATGTAAGCAGTCGTTGTACCCCTCGCACTCCTCTTCACCAATCCTATCCCTTCCTCTACTTTATCTTTTGGTGTCCTTGTTTTATTCATGCTGGAGATGACGGTCAACGTGTGGGCTTTCCATCGGTCTTGTCTTCTCGCTCTTTCTTTTGCCAAACCTCGCACCGTCACCTTTTCTCCTGATTTGCGCACATGTTCAATGTGTATGTACAGGACTAAGACTATCCGCTAAAGGAAGGACCGAGGTTGAACGGCGCGCGCCACCACGAGATGGTCATGACCCCCTTGTCCAACATTTTTTCAAATTCAACTTTCCATTATTTCCCTCACCCCCATTAATCACGGGGTTATTGTAATTGCCAACCAAGTCCAATGACCTATTTCCATCATTTTTCCACAATTTTCCATCATTTTTCCACCATTTTTCCACGATTTTTTACCTAGACGATTTGAATAGTTCCGAACAAATTTTTAGACATAATAATATTTCGATCCATCATTGCTGTTGAATATATTAGTTCTTGCATTGTAATGTATTGAATTATTAGGTTGTGCAAACTATCTCAGTTGTTTTCTAGTTAATTGCAGAAAAAAATGTAAAAAATCGAAGAATGTTATTTTTTTTTAACTTGTTCGATTAGATTGTTGTTTTATTTAATCGATGGAGTACGCCAAAAGGGATTTTGGGAAATATTGACTCAAAAATTTCCTAGTTTTTCAAAAAATTCAATTTTTTCGACTAATGAACTTAGTATTTTATATTTTATATGTTATTAGAATTAAAAAATAGGAGCGACGAATTTGAGTAGTTGAAATTTGAAAGGACTGAATGCTTTGAAGAAATTTCCAATTTTCAAATTTCAAATGACACACTCCAAACTTTTTCTTCGATTGAATTATCGAACTTCCTGAGAATGAGATATATTTTTTCATATTAAGAATGTTTATATGTTCTCAGTAAATTTGTTTTCCTTTTTAATATTTAAGAAAAATAGTATAATTTTTTCAGTTAATAACAGAACATGCACAACTAAATGTTTTGCCTGAATTGCTTCTGAAAATTGACAGAAAACTAGAAAATTTCAATAATCTTCAAGTGTCGATTAAAATTTTGGGTGTCATCGAGTGCATTTGAACCCAAATATATTGAACGTAGCGATTGATTGGACGAGGTAATTCAATGAATTGTCGGGAGATTTTGGTCACGGCTTTTATCGGTTCAAGAGACATCCGGAAGCATTCAGTGCCCATTTGTGCTCTTTAAAGGGACTCTCCCGTTTATTTATACACTCTGGAAAATGGAAATGACGGTAAAGTCTATCTACTGGATGAGGATCTCTGTTTCTCATCAGAACTGAAATTCCATTTATACCCGAAATCCCCAACCGAGTCGATGTGCCGCCTTGTGTCTCCGAAGGCGTGACATTCAATTCCTGGAATAGCCCCAGCACAGGTGGGATGGAACAACCATTTGGAAAAGTTATTCCAAGTTTTTTTTTCTTCCAAAATACTCTCACTCCTCGGAAAATCATCTGAGCAATCGTAATTATTATCATCATCATCACCATTCGTTCACGTCATGATCCTTCCTTTTTTTTTCAGGCAAAACCGATTTTCTCTCACCGATACATTTATTAATAATTTAGAAGTTAATGACCTTCGCAGACAAGCGATTAGAAAGATATCTAAATTTTTTAAATAGTTAAGAAATTATTTTGACAGGAAATTCCATTTACATGAAGAGAAAGTTCAACCGAAAATCAATTTAAAACGTCATAACTTTGGAATGAAATTTCGTTCCGGAAAAAATGACAAAACTTTTATATGATAATTATTTTCCGCGGAGCAGATCGTAATTTTTCCTAAATTCATGTTAAATTTTTGGTTTGTTACGTATAAAAAGAATAATTATTAATCAATTCATTAAGAATAATTAATTTAACATTCTTAAAGCGCTGAACAATAAAAATTCAATGAGACTTCAATACCATACAAATTTCCAAGACTAGCCTCACAACTTTTAACCAAAAATATTCAATAGTATATCAATAAATTAATTATAGTATTAATTCCTACGTCTCTTACTCAATAAAGTATTTGATAAAGAATTAATATGATTTGACCCTATAATTGACCTCTAGCAGTTCAAAAAAATAAAAAGAATTAAATTTCCCTCCAAAACGATTGTATTCTTTAAAAATCGAATAATATAAAGGAACATATAGAAAAATAAAAATCCGTGCTACGGTATTCGTTTTCGCAATATTTCAAATTATCACAAAGATGCTCCGAAAAATATTAACAAATGAAAGAATCCTTACCTTGTATCCACAGCTGTTCGACTTTGCTATGCACCTGGATGGATTTCAGTGCAATGCAAAATGTAGCTAATAATAATACCGCTACAAAAAGAACCTTGCCCGCGTGCCTCTGAGTAAAATATCCCAATTGGTTCAATTCGTCCTGCAGCTTGCCACGAATCCAAATGGCCGACCTTTGACCCTCAGCCTTCCCCTAAAAGTAAATCATCATTCATAACATTTCACATGTCCCACTTTAAAGGCGGAAGTGATGTTTTTAAAGAAAACATGCGGGCATCGATGTATCAATGCAACTTTTCACAATGATGAGTGAATATTTGTCTCCTCCCTCCATCATATCTTGTCATCAAAAGAGGTCTCTCAAAATCTTGTGTCTCAAAATCTCTTCTTCATATAAAAAATGGTATTATTGTACTCAATATTCAGTTAATGTGGCAGTACTAGATACTTTTATCGTTAGTATTCTGTCAATCCATGAATACCAACTTTTTTTTCCATTTTATAGAATTTTTAGAGACCTTATAGATGGGTGACTACTTAGTATTTGTTCAAAAAAAAACTTGAATACTTGAATACTTTGGTATTCAGCTCATCCTTTTATACCAATAGTTTAGTACTTAACAGCTTCTAAATACTTTTGTACATTCCTCATTCAAACTCATATTTTTGAAAATCCAGATGACATTATGAAGCGAATTTCAAAAGATTCAGTATGTATTCCGAGGTACTGTTGGGATTCATGCATTGTGAAGTGCCAAGTACTTGGAATCTTCCGAATACTTTTGTGTTCATGTCTGATACAAACTCAAAAATTTTAATACATTCAAAATATATTCATATGTCGAGCTATTGCTATAGTATTTTATAATGAATGTGTAGTACTAAATACTTGAGTATTCCATCCTTTAAGATCGTCAAAATACTACCCATCACTGTTTTAAATTTGCAGCTTGAAAGATCCTAATGATATTGCCATGGCAATCCCAAAAATTCAAGATATATAAGGTATTATCGTGCTTTAATAATTGTAAAGTACCAAATATTCAAGTATTCAAGTACATATTTGCCGGTCACCGATTGAAACTTATACACCCTCAACAATCCAGATGACATTTGTAACTGAAATTTCAAAGAATTTCTGAGTGTCCCTCAAAAATACGGAAAAATGTCTTGACCAGAGGAGGCAACAAGCTGTTACGTCGTACCATGTTGTGCATAAACTCCAGGAGTACAGCAACCAGGGGAGGTTGAAGGGAGGAGGGATAGAGGGGAGTTTTAAGGGGGATTTGAGGGGGACAGGTAGAAACTTGAGCAACATTGCGAGAGCGGCAACGTTGCACACTACCTGGTGGCCACTCTGACAATGTGCCTTGTGGACCACCCGCAACAATACCTATCTTTCCTGTCCCTGCAGAGTGAGCAAGAAAAAGGAGTCGTCGAGGTAGAATGGAAAGGATATAGGCGCACGCCCATCCTACTATCTCCTCGTTCGATACTAAAACTAAAAAGAGGAAGGGGGGCATCTTTACAGTTACCTTCCCTGAAACAATTTTACCCCTGGTATTAATAAAAAAAACAATACTGCAGAAGGCAAAAGGCAGAAGGTAGAAGGCAGGAGGATGAATTCTCATTGAAAGTAAAAAAAAAAAAGTAAGGATTACAAGGTGGTTTTGCATATCCACGTACAGTAGCCGAGTATCAAGTGGCAAAAGGCGTTTTTCCAACCAATTAAACATGAGGAGTGTAGAGAAACTGTGGCTGCCTTTTTTGCTAACTAGAAAGCTAGAGTTTCGGGTAACATTATATCCTTCAAACATTTTCGAGTAACAGGTAAATCCCGGTTGCCACATGGGGCTACATTTTTTTTTTGTCACCATTTAATGACGAGCGATAGAGTAGAAACATTGATTGATCCATGTGGGAGACGAGAATTTGAGAAATTTCATTCAGTAAATTTGTTTTGAGGGTTTTGAGGGTGAAATAATATGGCGTGAGCTGGATTGAGCCAGTGATTTTAGTTGGTCGTATTTCTCCAGTTGAAACTCTTGTAGGGAAAATCAGGGGCATTTATTGTAAACAATTTTCATCAGTTAATGCGTTGGAATATTTTTAGGGTCATATTCCAATGTAATAAGATCATGTGTCTGCCCGGGTGGTCCCTGAATCAGGCCGCAAAGCATGCAGATAACTTTTACGATGACTACGAGTGAGTTTAAAATCAAGATTTGTTATTTTTTTTATAGTGACTTAAGGAGAAGGGATGCGGTGGTATAATAACAGTAGCTGGATTTTTGGCTCTTTCAGGACCTGGATGAAGTCGTCAACGACTGCGGTGGTCGAATAAAACGCGTTTGGGGCCCTCGGTGGGGTGAGAAGACCAGAGGTAGAGGAATACAGTCAGGTTTTGCCTTCAGGTACATGGAAAGAACGAGGAAAAATAAGAAGAAACTTCAAACTTTTATATTTTTGTGGGACCAACGGGACGAAATTTAACATCTTCCGGTTACCATAAATTTCCGAGATCAGCAAACAAAATATTCGATAGACAACAAAAATGGATATTATGGATACAATTAAAAAGTTGCCATCACAAATCACATTTTATATTTTACTCCCCGAAATTTGAAAGATTCATACACAGTAAAACTAAACGGTTAAATAACCCACAGGTTACGACCTACTGATGGCCTTCCATCGAATAATAAAGGGAATTCATTATATATGTTTGTAGAATTATGAAAGAGTTGAGAAATGAGTGATACAATATCGATTCTTTATCAATGCTTCCCGTTTCAATTGCAATATCGTTTATGTAAATAAAATTTGATATTTCTATAATTGTTTTTTCATTTACGGAATTTTATTTTTAAAAGCACAGTTTTATCGAAAAAGTTTACGCTATTTTTACGGTTATTGAGACATATTCAGCCATTAATCCCATTTTTTTTTCAGTTATAATTTAAAAAAAAATGTTCATTTGTTTATTGATTTTCAGCAATTGTAGTAGGTCCTGAATGCTGCTATAAAATGAGATCAATCACTCCCCGAGGAAACGATGTTGAACTCATGATATTGAACTTGTCGGATTAATTACATTAAATGGGGCATTAAATTGGTTGTCCTTGAGCTATTTAGCTACTAAATACCCAGCCCACAAAATGCCAATCAAATCAGTGAAATAATTAAAGAATAACAAAGCAAAACGAATACTTCAAACAGTTGTATAAATATTCATAACTTATAAATTAATAGAAGAAAAAAAAATGGAAATCTTCAATGCGGAGAATTGCTTTTCCGCATAAAAAATTGGCAGGGAGAATTTTAACCTCTACGGATTTTAATGAATTCAAAATACGGACACTCTAAATTTTTATGCATTTCATTTTTTATTCGATTCCAGAACAATAAAGAAGTTCCGATTGTCATCAATATTGTAAAGAATTTGAAATTCACAGTGCAAGTCTTCCCCTATTTTCTGTTCCCATCACCGAGGACCCAGGGAAAACAGATTATTCCAGGAATGGTCTCGAAGGGATCCTTTGGTTCTTCACCGACCATTTGAAAGATCGTTTCGGCTTCACTTATAAAAACCCAGAGACCCCTCCCAAACCATCACCAAACGGAAATTCCAATTTCCCCTCAAAAAATCACCAATTTTCCATAACGAATAAAATAAACCTCTCATTACTTCCCTATCTTTTTTTTATCAAACCGGGAGAGAAAAAAAAACCGTCAAGACCACCCACGTGTGTGAAAGCTAACAGCTAACAGTCCCCTTTGAATGCCACTCTCGAGTACAGTCTCCTCGAAAATATTTCAATAAAACCGACGGCAAGAGGAAATAAAGAAATAAAGAAAAAAAACCCAAGAAATATCTTTTCCATCTTCACCCGGAGAATAAAAAAGCAAAAGCCAAAATAAAAAAGATAACAATTTGAAAGGATTTGCAATTCCTGGAGACACCGACGACAGCACAGGCCGTATCGTATTGATTTGCCCAGTAGTGAGTTCACTGGCCAATGCAGAATGTAAACAATGTAGTGTAACAACAAGTGAGAGAAGTGGAGGAAATAAAAATAATAAAAATAAAGAATAAAAACAAATGAACAAATGGAGAGAGTAAAGAAATAAAATGAATAAAAGAGGTAAAAGAGGTAAAATAAGTGAAAAAGGTGAAAGAAGTGAAAGAAGTGAAAGAAGTGAAAGAAGTAAGAGAAATATAAGGGGGTGAACACAAACCTTGATGATTTGATCCAATGCAATTTCTGCATCAGCCCAACTGGGTCTGACATATAAATCAGACTGGTGTCTACGTCTATCATGGTCATCGATTGTTCGAATATTTTTTGAATCGTGAGTGCCATTTTGCTGCTGTGACTGTGCCGTTGATGCAGTAGGGCGTCCCGCTAGGATCCCTGTAGGGCCGGACGCAGTGACCATGATCCGTCATGCATTTGCACCGGCACACACTCACGCTAAAATTATTATCAATATTCTCAGCTTTTCCCAACCCCTCACATTCCCTACCAACAAAATCATTAAACAATCCACTTATTTATTGACACACTCGGCGATAGCAATGGACTTGAGGAGCCGTAATCACCCGCAGCCCTCATCCACTATTTTATTATTGACTTCCTGGCGTTTTATTTTTACTTATTATTTTATCCCGTTTAATTTTTACCTTATCTTTTTGATCGTTTTGATCTTTTTCATTTACTGATTCTTCTTCGATTGGAGTAATACTCGCACTCACACTGCACACAACACAACACAAACGTTGGATTTATACTGGAGCAATCCTCCGGTGTGATTGGAAAGGGGAACAGGGTGTTTTTTAAATTAAAAGGTGCACTGCTGATTCAACTTTGTTTATATCACTCGTGTGAATGTGAGCACTGGGTAATGAGGATTTTTTTTTTCTACCGAGTTGTTTCTCGGCTGCGATCGACACTTGGTGCCGTCTAAGTTCGTACTAAGGGAAGTGTCGGTGCCACATTTCTTTCGTGGCCTGCCCACCAGCACACGGCCATAGTTGATCCAACCTATCCCCACTACTTGGATCAATGTACCAGAGGCACCAGAGGAGTTTGGCTTCGTGTTCTCGAAAGTCGTAGAGAATTCACAACCCAGTCTCCATCCACTGCGCAAACATCCAGGCGCGTAACTTCATTGGGAACCCTCACTGCTATTTTTCTTTTTTTTTTTTTCAATCCCTATTCAATTATTTTACTCATCAGTTCCCCAAAAATTATGTCAACTAAAATCTTCAACCCTTTTTTTATCACTTGCATCACGATGCTCTACGATTTTCTCATAACAATTTGCTCACATGAATTTTTAAATTCCCTCATAAAATTGAAAATCATCGAGCAATAAATATCTAACACAAAATCTAGTTGCAAATTTGTTTATTTTTTCAATTCAAAGGAAAAAGAGAGTAAAACTCACAATAATTCTCAGCTCTTAATAAAATTAATTTGTCCAATTTTAAGTGTCCAATATGCAATTTGAAAAATGTGTGATATATTGGGGAAAAGCCTGATTATGGAATGATGAGAAATGCTGATAAATAGTAAAATAGTTTGATGGGGGTAATTAAGGAAAGGTGAGAGGTGCAGTATTTTTAAGATTACGCGACTGGTGCGACTGGTGGTACCGATGACGTCACAGTCGAAGGTGACCGATGTTGGCCGAGGATTGTGGAGGTGTCGGTTGATTGGTGGATAATGGTCGGCGTCGTGGGTTGCTAGGATACAGAGCAGATGAGCCACGAGTGACGATAGACGGAGTGATGGAGGGTAACCGGGAGGTGAGGGTTGCGGGGGTGAAACAACACCGGGGACCACACACGCCGCTACCATTTCCCCTCAAGCAAAAACACTACCCACACGCGCACGACCCGGCTTATATATTTTCTTCTTCTCTTTATTTTCTCCTTTGAATTATCATTGTTATTATTGTGGATTCAGGAGTTATTTACGCGACACTGAAATCGTTAATTCAACTCTATTGTTTTATCAATGATTCAATCACCGCACCGAAAACGGTTTGTGCACAAAGAGAACAATTTAAAAAATGAAAAAATAAATAATTTTTATCGATTTTAGCCAATCCGAGTGCAGTATTCTCGGTCAGGTGATTTATGTCAATCTCGTAATCCCCACGGCTAAGAGAAAACTATCAAACTTATTCTTTTTCTGTAGTTGTTTTTAGTTGTTTTTTTTTTAGAAGTTTGGCAGATATTGCTTACGTATTAGTCAAATTCGCATGATAGTTTTGGCAGATTTGGAGAGGATAATTGTAAATAGAGTCGATTTGGACGAGACTACGGATTAGCTCAGAAATAATTGATAGAAGAATGGGAAACAGCGTAACTAGTGTATTAGTAACACTGTAAAGTCACAAACGGATTAAACATGAACCTTGAATGGACCTTTTCATCCTGTGAATAACGAAGAAGTTTCTGGAGTACAGACGTCTGGCTAATCGAAATGAAAAAAATTATCTGCCGAATACCCTTTGATCTTTTAAATTCATCGGCTATTTCCCTCATTTTTTCCTATCCTGGCAATGACCGGGAAAAATTTTGCCACATCCACTATGCAGAACTTTTCCCTCTCATTGCTACGCAACAAATTATTACACTGATAATCTCCCTGTAACCCGTCAATTGTGTTTAGAAATCTGACACACATTTTTCACGTGGTTTTGATTAAATTTGTCCCCAACAACTGCATCTTAATCGTCGAAATTTAAATTAAGGAAGTGGTCCTCTGCATACCTCCCGACCTTAAAAATTCATCGAATATTTCCATCGAATTTTCCTGAATATTCATGACCTCGGATCAGTTTTGCAGTATAAACTTAATCAGCAAGACTATATTCCCTCTCTATGCTATGCAAAACATTCGGGAAATCTCCAACATTATTGCTATTATTATTATCATTATTGTTATTATTATTATTGTTATTGTTATTGTTGTTATTGTTGATGTTGTTGTTGTTATTAAGGTCTTGAGGCAGGTATTAGCTAATAATTCAAGGATTCAGTTACTTCCAAGGAGTATGCAGTTTAATAAACAACTTATTTCTGCAATTGTATCAGCTCTAGGTGATATCGATTAAGTGCTAATAATGAGAATCATATTGTTCTAGAGGATGATTATTGATTATGAACTCGGATAAACTCTCAAGAATTATCAATATTAGAGAAATGGGTAAATTAATTTTATCCAAAGAGTTTATTCAAGGATATATCCCACATTATTATCCTCTACAACAATATGATGATTATTATCGGAATGTAATGGAATCGTCTGGAAACTACTCCATTGCGGAGAAATACCTCTTATAAAAAATACATATTTCTCTCAAACAAATACAGCATTGGCGATATATTTTTTTCTTCGGGTGAATTAAACACACCGGAATTAATTATCATTAATTAATATTCGGGTATGAACATTCATATTTCTTCTACTTTATCTAATTGGAATATTTTTTAGAAAAGCCAAATTGAGGCAGCTTCAATGTCTTATTATTTTACCAAAGTCACAACTGCTAAATTTATTTCTTCTCCGGAATATGTACATACATAACATTTATATATCATCGATATATATTCATTATATATCCGACTAATAGATACAGTTAAAAAACCTTTTTTTTTCAGAGTAGATCAACTTTATTAATTGATGCTACTTTTGCTACTAAGTCATGTATACAATACGTTATAAAAAATGCATAATAATAAATATAAATAATTACACTACATCAACTACTACAGGTAGATCCATCGAGTCTATTTTTTGTGTTACATATATTTTCTGAAGTTAGATTGCATCTAACAATATTCTAATTTATGGTTGTCAGTGAATTTTCATCATTAGGAATTGCGTCGATGTAATTGAAATCTTGGCGAATACCGTCTTCTTGCGATTTGAAGGAGTTCTCTCACGATTTAATAACTTATAATCTCACCGCAAGACTTAGATAACACTTGAGAAACTGCCTAGAAAATTAATTGAGTGGAAAAAAATAGAATGCTTGCAAATTATCAATGAAAAATCATTTACAAAATGATAGTTCTTTCGTAGATTTTGACAAATGAGTGCAGAATGACTGATTATCTATGGTTAACAGATAAAATGCCGAAATATTTTCGGCCCTTAGGGATGATTGATTATTCAGACACGTGGAAGATTCTCTAAAACGTCCACGGTCAAAATATAAACAGGTTCTCAAACAGATGTTAGTAAAAATAATCAAATTTTCAGTTAAAACTATGCAATAAATTAAATGGTTAGTGAAGTGTTTTTAATTAATTACAAAATAGATACGGCTGAAGATAGGGGAAAATGTGTCAAACTGAAAATGTTCCTTATCGAAGAAATATACATTATTAATTATATGAATAATTATAGAGGAGACTGGGGCAATATGGAACACAGGATAAAATGAAAACAAGCGGAAACATCAACCGTAAGAATCCATTATTCAATTCCCATGTAAGGGATTTCTTCATTAGAAGCCAAAAATGAGCAATTCAAGTTAAATGGCGTATTTTTTGAGAATGTTTAAAAATAAAAGAAAACAACAGTATAATAAAAAGAAAAAATTAAATGCCCAAAAAACACTGAAACATTTCTAGAATGCTGTCAACATTTTTTGGCAAAAAAAATAACTGCGAATGAATTAAAAAAGCTTTTCCGCAAGTGTCCCGTTTTGCCCGGGGTGTCCCATTTTGCCTGGCTCTTCCCTGTAATTAAAAATCTTGGGATAAGTACATTATTTTTCTATGCAGCCCCATTATACTTTTTGTACTAATTTTCAGAGAAATGGTAAGTCTGAGAAAATAATGGCCTGACTAAGAAATGTTCGTGATTAAAAAATCCGGAAGATTAATCATTTGACTTTTCCGCTTATTTTCAATAATTTTCGAGTTATTCAATATTTTATAGACATCGACAGGACACATTCTCGTTTCGTCAATAATTAAACCTTAATTTTCTTGTTAACCATTTACAATAGACCTAAAGATCTTATAACTTGAAAGATGCATCGTAAAATAATCAAGATTTTTTATTTGAATGTTTTTTTTCTAACTTTATCAGTTCGTGAGATGGCGACAGTTGTGTTGAAAGTTCACTCATGACGTAAAACCACCTCGTATTATGGTGTAGAAATGTTTTCTCCGAATTCCTATACAAAAACATTATCTACGCCGTAAAAATACGTTTTAATCAATAGTTCTTATTTTTTTATGTAAAAAAAAAACATTTAAAAACCCTATGAGCAAAAAATCTTCGCCAAGAGTCCCGAAAGAACTGATGACGCGGTAAATTCGTTTTGATGAAAACAAAACTCAAAAATAAAAACAAATCAGGCTTCTTGCAGTGTGTGAAGTATACGTAATGTATATTTCCAATTTGAAGAAGATAAAATATATAAACAAAGGACAAATAAAAGCAGCGGATTTGAGATCGTTGTTAAAATATTATTCGAATAAACATTGTCGATATTTTTATGATGGATAGATATTGATGTTAAAGTAATTGACGGCTAAATTACAGGTTGATTATCAACCAAATGCAATTTTTTTATTTTTTTAAAGTAAAAACGTCTACGAATTTGCTGCAATTAATGTAGGTACATTAATCATTGCAGCAATTTAGTTCGTCGGACCATTCTTTTAGGAGCTCCGATTCGTTTCATGTTTTCGCATTGATTCATTAATTTTTCATTAGAAATTTTTACAATTTTACAAGAAATAGTCCTTTTCATAATTGAAATCCAAGAAGGATTAACTGAAATGATCAAAAATACATTTTCTCATGAATAAGAAACTTCTTGCCATAATTGATTTTTTTCGCCACTTTCAAGTTGGCAGACGATTTCGATCACTTGTAGAATTTCTATTATCCAGAAAGTTTTTTCATTTGCCGTTCTACATTCTCCGTC